TGGTTTCTGCCTGCTCCTGCAGGCCACCATCGTCTGAGCTGCCAGTGTCAGTGTCGCATTTTTCTTGTTACCACTGTTCACATTCCACATGATCGCGGGAGAAAAAGAGTGAGTGATTGCTGCTTGGTGTTGCATTCACATGGATGCACAAAAACAGCCCGGATCCATAAATAATTTTCAGGGCTGCCAAAGCCCATCCCAGTATATCCATTCGCTCAACCCCGCCCCGCGGTCACAAGACGTCAGGGGGGTCAACCGATGGTAAATCCCTGCACCCCAAAAAGTCCCGAAGCAGCCGGATCGAGGATCGCATAAGCTACACAGACAGTGGTCGGATTGTAGTAGTCAGGCTCAGAGCTTAGTGTCTTGTTACAGCCTGATCTGATCCCCGAGTCTGGATGTGTCGTCTGTCCTATCTTCTCAGGCTTTCAGCATAGATCCGACATCCTACAGCCCTAAACCCAGGCCCTTAGAGCCTGATTCATGAACCCTGCTCCCTCAAGAGGCATTGCTTACAGAGTTTTCCCGTTTTTCACACCTCCCGGCCTCAGGGAACCGGAAACGGGCAGTACTACAAGCCTTCTGTCATGTTCGAGCTTGCTCAGGATATCACGCCTACTTCGACACGCTGATCGGCGGCGACCCCAGTGATGAAACAAAGCTCGGAACCTCTCCACTTGCGAGTTTGGGATTCAACGCTCCGGGTTTGTCATGTCAGGGTTGCAGAGCCTTGGGGCTTGAGGTTTTGATGTGGCTTGGGGCTTAGGGGGAGTTTGGGGACCGAAACCCGGCCCTACGCTTAACAAATCGGGAACGCCTCGTGCCTGGAGTTCAATGCTTCTGGCCTTGATGGGGTAAAATACAACACAACATGATATGATATACCTAGTATAATGTAATTAATGTAACAGAATCTCCGATAATGGTTTACTTCATTATGAGATGCTGCTCAGACAGCAGAGATCTGTTTGTGTCACGGCAGGTATTTTCTCCTCCCCGCTACTGCGGTCGTCTTGGAGCATAAGACATCTCAAACACCGTAACTCCGACATCCCAGTCTCGAAGGCCTATGCATGCTGGCTTCAGGCTTGACACCCTCATGCCCTGACGAATCCTCCACATTACAGCCCTCAGCCGAAACCCAAAACCCAAACGTAGACTCAAGCACCCTAAGCCACCAAACCCTAAACCCCAAAGTGTGTGGACTCCCAATCTTTGCTTAAGTAGCGGCTTACGGGGGTTCAGGTCATCGTAGAGCTAGCATAGGTTCTGCGGGTTTGGAATTTAGGGCGTGTTATAACACACGTGAAGTTCTTCGCCCGACCCTAGACCCATGCCGAAGCCTGCAACCGTAGCCACTCAGCCCCAGTAGCCCCAGAGCCCAGAACGCCCAGACGCTTTGTTGCTGATTTAAATCAGGAGCCCAAAAATAGTAGCAATCCCAGAAGAAGCCATTAAAAGCAAGGCCTGATCTTCTTGTTCTTGGTGAACGAGGCTGCTCGCCAGAGGCCCCCGACGGCTGGCTCGACTGTGTAAATCCTCGTACCAAGCCCATGTAGGTTTTGGGCTTTGGGTCCCTGTAGATCCGACGTCACAAAAAGCCGAACATAGCAGCCATAGCAGCAAACAGCAGAATTATTGAACGCCGTTTCTCAACCTCAAGGCCCACCAGGCGCAGAGCCCGAAATTCGAGTGCTCAACATCGTTACAGCTTCGCCCAATCTTGATGGGACTTCAGTCAGCGTTTAGGGCCGGCAGGTGTCTGCAGAACGAGTGGCCTCGACCGAAAGTGCGGAAGTCGAAGAACTCCGCAGTCTGCACGATTTCGTCTGTATCCCTTCTCTAGGATTTCGGGTTTGAAGTCGTAAACAACGTCGGAGACTTAGTAAGTCCACTTATGTTCGAGTTGCTGCTGGCAGGTCCGCATCACAGGTGATATAGTGATAAAGGTAATCAACAACACCATCCGAAGCAGCGGGCAACTCTGAATCGCGGGATGCCTGGAATTAGCAATCGTCGTCGTCGGCGTCACCGTTACGTGTGTCGTGGTCCTGGGTCCTGGTCGTGCGAAATGTCCTCCGTCTCTCCTCCAAATCCTCCTCCTCCTCCGCCTCGACGTCGTGTCCTCCTTCTCCTCCACGCTCTTTCCTCCTCATCGTCATCCTCATAATGAACCGTTGTCACTGTCATCGTCATCATGGCCCGGGGCCCGCAACAACAATCCCCCGCTGCCACGCCCACACCATCGCCGTCATCAGGCATCGTGGTCTGCTCGTGATGATATTGGCCATAGTCGTGGATGTGACCATCATACTTGTCGAGCCAACAAAAGCAGGAAGAGCTCCTGTTACGAGAAGCAAAACAACAAGAGTTACAGGAAGTGGTACATGGAGCGAGCGGATCAAGTTAGTCCACGCCCCAGTGCAGTTGGTGGACCTCATGGGCGGTTTCGGGCAGGGGAGAGAGCGATTGAGGATGCACTGGGGTAAGCATTAACCTGCTGCTTGAGGGCTGTACCCTATAACCAACCTACTATTTGGTAGAGTTGAAAGGCTAGGTAGTTGCTGTGGTGTTTACTCAAAACTCGCAAGAAAACTGCAGAGCCGACTTTGGACGCAGCCTCGAATGATTCGAAATGCAAAGCCCTCAACAATACACACGCCATCCCAAGCCCCAAAACCCAAAGACCAAAACCTAAGAGGTTTACTGCTCTTGCGGCCTTGTATCATGGCTTTTAAAGATTCGGAACCACAGCCTAAGCCTGGCCCCCAGACTCCAAAGCAGCAGAAAACAAACTCGACCCCAAAGGCCCCACCAAAGACAAGAATCATGAGGACAAACAAAGCAAGATCAGGAAGAAGAAGAAGAAGCCCCGAACCCCAGTCGCCCTTGGTTTCAGAATCCCAGCTCCTATGCCCAAAGCTCGCAAAGCTCGAGGCTTCGTTCTTGCCCTCCGGCAGAGGAAAGCCAGCCACAGCAGCTTCGACCAGAGCTTTGGGGTTCAAAGGGTGTCGGGTTTAGGGATGAGGTTATGGGCTTCAGAGTTTAGGGTTGATGGGGTTTAGGGTTCAGGGTAGCTTGCGTTTGAGATCTTAGCTTATAGTAGCGTTTTGGCCAGTTAGGTTCAGGGATTAAGGGTTTAGGCTTGAAGCTTGTGTCTGGGTGTCAACTGCAACCCTTTCTGCGGCATTTGCAGTTCCAAATTCGTTTTGGAGGGTTTGAGATGGGGGTATTGACGGAGCTAGGCCCGAATGCTTGAACTCCAACCATATGCACCCTTGGCCCTACACCCTTGAGTCCATCGAATCCCAAACCCTTGTAGACTTTCAACAGTTCTTGGAGAGGCTCTGTCGTTCCAGGGTTTCTGGCTTCCGATCTCAGCTGTCAGCTCAGAGCCGTCTTTGGGTTTTCACGTTCAGGGCTCAGGGGTTTGGGCTCAGGCGGCTGAGGTTGAGGGTGCAGGATTCACGGCTTGGGGCCATCCTGCCTCGACAAGGCATGTTCCAGATCTTGGCCTACATGCTGCCGCGCCTCGGATAGCAGGGACCATGCTAGTGCCGACCACAGTAGCCCAGTACAACGTTTATGAACTGACCACCATCTGCGGAAGCCGATCTCCAGAAACTCGTGGATGCTTGCCGCAAGACTCCGGGGAGTTGTTCCTGATAGTTCCGAATGCAGGGTTTCAGAGAGGTACCGAGGAAGGTGTTTGTTGTGAAAAAAGAAGAAAATCACTGGGCAGGAAAGCGGCCTTGAAGCTCTGCTGCCCTACACCCAGAGACTCCAATGGAATATACCTTAAATCACATTAGGGATCCTACTCGTACCATAATTGAAGGTATATTTCTGAATTAAGGGATATTGGAGTCTCTGGTCACCCAAAACCCCAAAACCCTAAGCTGAGGTCTTTCATGGTTACGGAGATGCTACGAAGTCTGATTCCCAGCCGACCGGACCAGGGCTTCCAATCGGGAACAGCTAACTAACAATCGCGCAGCCCTCAACACCCCGTTGTAGTCATAGAGGCCCCTTAAATTTCAAGTGTGGTTTGAAGCAAGACCTCCGGTGGTCCCACAAAAGGAAAGGTGCATCCAGAAAAGCCTGGGTTTGGGTTTAAAGGTTTGGGGCTCCTGGCTAGGATATATAACCAGCGCTGATGGAGTTTAGGGTTTAAGATCTTGGAATATAGCCTGTGATCGCACCGCGAATGCTCTAAGATTGGGGTCCCTGTACCTTACAAATGGGGCATGTGAACCCTAATCTACCCATGGGTACACGAAATCTTGGGTCCAATGTTGGACAGGACTGTATATTCTAGCTCCGATTAAACCCCCAAGCCCCAACCCGACACCCCTGAACCAACTAAGCCTAAACCCGACAAGCGTTTGCTTGGCTGCCCAGGCCCAGAGAAGACCCTCTCCGACCACATCCCCCGGGCGAGCATCCTCTTCATTAAGCATCTGGGCCGGATGTTCCAGGGTTTGGGGGTTTTGGGTTCAGGGGTTTAAGTGAAAGTGGGTTCTTGAGCCTACAATTAGCTTGCATGGCTGGTGCTTGCTCTGAAGGGGTATGCAATGCTTTGGCTTCAGGGCTTCAATCAGCAAACTGGTACTGAAAGCCCTTGAGCACAGCCCCGATTTCCAGCTTCTGACATCCCCATTCTTCCTCAGAAGCTCGCTATCGTGGCCGCTGATCCATAGACTCTATCGATCCTATAGATACTGTAGACCTTGCGGTAGCCATAGTGGAGTAGCCCACTACACAGTCCCATGATCTCCCTCTTCCAGAACCCATGTATATAACACAATCCTTGCAGAACTCTAAAGCCTCTGCTGCCCGCAAACCCGTCCTAGATGCCTATAGAGCTCTCTTAAGCTCTTGCGGGAATCCTAGTATAGAGTCCCAGAGTTTCTCAAAGGGCTCAAAAAATGGGCGCAGCTGGGCTTCCAGAGCTTCTGATCTGGGAAGATGAGTGGCCGAGGATCGTTGACTTCGACACAATGGTGCGGAGGCAGAGACCTGATGTGTTTAATCTAGGGGGCCTATAATACTTAATTACCTATATTTTTTTTTTTTTTTGAGGGGGGGGGGCTTGGGCGGTTGAGAGGTTTGGGGTTTACGATTTCAGGTTGAGGATTTAGGTTTTACAGGGAGTTCGGATTCAGGGTTTGACGCTCACCAAATGCAAACAACGATCTTGGCATCATGTTTCCTTTTTCACTGTTCCGGGTGTAGTGATCGAGCTTATGCAGAAGATCTCGCAGAATGCTGCAGGTTGCCTCCGGCTGACGTGCTGCAGAAGCTGAATGGATGCCTGGCCATTTTTTCGTGCACGGAGACCCACTGAACATCTGGGACCATATTGTACTCCAAAGATCTAGGCTTAATGTCGGCACTTCAAATAGTAGACCCCAAAACCGTTATGCCCGTCAACCCCTGATGCAGCCACACAAAAATTACCTAACTCCTAAGCCCCCAAAGCCGTGCATGCCGGAACGGATGTTCCCGGATCTGAATTCATGTGAATTTGTATGGCTGCAGGATTAGGGTTAGGGTTTTATTGCGTTGCTAGACTATGGGTTCCAACCTCCAAGAAGGCCCCTGTATTGGAGAGCGATGTTTTGCAGTCTCAGGGATCTTCTCGGCCCTCGATAACCTCTGCAAGCGGCACAGCGTCACCAAGATTGAGACTGTTGCCGAGGTCGCGGTCCTTTGCTTGGGGTTTATAGGCCTTATAGGAGTATGTCAATATATCTTGTAGCGCTGATATTATTATATAGGGGCCCAAATATGATAATTATATATAATGGGCCCCAGAACCCTATTCCAATTATTAAGGCCCCTACATTATATGGTTTCGATTTAGGATTTAGTAGGTTTGTGTTTTGTGTTGGGAGGAGGGTGGCTCGACTGCCGGGTCGAGGGCTCATCCTCTGTTGTCTGCAGGGTTGAAAAGGAAATAGAATTGGGTTTGAGGGGTATAGTCTATTACATGCAGGTTGGGGACTATGCGGCGATACTATGATTATTGTTCTGTGCTATAGGATACAGGGCATGCGAAATGCGGAAGTGACCCCCGCGGAGTTAGCTGATATGTTCCTTGCCGTTTTGACTACTCGTGGTCCCCGGAGTGTTGAACAACAACCTGTCCAAGGATTTGAGATTTCTGCTGCGGTGTTGGATTGAGGAGTTGAAAGTTTGAATCCGACCATGGAAAGGTCTTGTGATGGCGCATCGATGCCTGCCGAACTCGTACCCGCCACAATGCCTCAGCCCCTACCCAATGTATCAAACTGTCAATACGGAATATGCTGCTTGAGCCAATATTCAATATTGGTACTTGACCCTTAAGGCTAGACAGATTCACCCCTGCCCACCGTCAAACCCCAAACCCACATCTCCACTACACGCTAAACCCCCATACCCTGTATGTAAACCCTATCTACCTATCTATCTATCTATCTAGTTTAACAATATACATAAACCCTAAACCCATGCCTCTCATCGCGTTTTCGAGGAGTATGTCTGTGCTGTGGGCATCGTTCCAGCAGACCGCGAGCAGGACGGGACGCCGAGCTTAGGGTTTAGCCGATTAGCCTCTGAGGGTCTAGGGATGTTTAGGGTTTAGGGTTGTTGCGATTAGCCTTCAGTTTCTACCAGCAAGCAAGCTAAAACGTGGATACTGGTGTAAGCAGTTGATTGATATTTGGTGTCCTAGAGTGTGGGACGCAAGCGAAGTCCTTCTCATCTCAGGGTCTAACACATTCCAACACTCTGAAGTAGTCGGTGTTCTTGGCGAAAGCCTTCGTAGTGCCCATCGCAGACTGAAGGAGAATCTTGGCAGCGAGAAACAGTGCTTCAGGAATCGTTTCGCCGCTACGCAGAAGCAGCAACTCCTGCCTTCAGCCTACAACCCCTCACCTGGCAGGGTTTGCTTGACTGATTACTGCTCATGTTTAAAGTTGAGGGTCCTGACCCCGGTGCCGACATAAATCCTGTTGCGGCCCCCAATGTGTGTTTCTGCAGGATTCAGGAGAAGACACCAGCCGACATATGCCCCTCATTCGCCTGGCCTGGTCCCTACTTGACGTGGGTCATCGGTTTCGGGCTTAGACGTTTCTCGCTTGCAGAGCTCGGAGCAGCCGAGAAAACGCTAGCATGTTGCGCTTGACGGATGCTCAACAAGGAGACCCCTTCAGGAATACAATCATGAAGCTTGACTTGCTGTACTCAGGTGTACATGGCCGGTGACTGGGCATCGGATACGGGGGAGGGTTGTAGTTCACGATGTCATGATGGTTGACTTCGCATGTGAGGATTCGTGTTTTGCTACCGATTTATATACTTTGCCGAGGATGTTATAGGATTGTTGAGTGCTTTGGGTGTAGATTTGCTAAGCTCAATCCGGTACGTTTTCGCGGTTGAATATAGAGGTTTGAATTATCAGTAGCAGCCCGCTCTAGTTTCTCTCAGCTATAGCGCAGAACCCCAGTCTAAACCTCTAGGCCCGTATGTATATTTTCGAAGTTGCGAGATATGTTTGGGATGGCTGGGCTTTTTTGGCTTCCAGCCGAAGGCTGTTTACGTATATTCTGGCGTATATGCTGACCCTACACCACAGCCTAAAACATGAAAGCCTACAGCCCTGATTCGAAACCCCAAGACCTGGACCGAATCCCTGCAGAGCCTAAACCTTACCTTTGGCTAGTAGGGTATGGAAGAATGGGGTACAACTATAACTACTATTACTACCATTCTTCCATTCACTACTAACCACAGGTAAGAAACCGCCCTGAGCTCCAACCAAAAGCAGGACCCTTCTGCTCAGGGCTTTCTGCTGGCTCGGATCTAGGCTCTGCTACAGACTCACACTATTTGGCGGTTTCCGAAAATAGGGGACCCTAATATAGTACCCTAAATAATAGGAGCTTTATAATAAGGACCCCCAAAATAAGGTGCCCTAGTTTTCGGAAACCCCCATTTCCTTCTTGAAGCCAACCTGCATCTAAACTGCTGTGCCCATGTAGCGGTGCACTGTGTATGTACACACGCGAACAGATAAACACTCAATGCCAAGAGCGAACGAGAGAGACAGAGAGGCATGCATGTTTGTCTGTCTGTGTCCGTCTGTCCGTCCGTCCGTCCGTCCGTCCGCCTGTCTCATGTATGGATGGATGCCTGGCTGGCTGGCTGATCCATCCATCCAGCCAGCAGCCAGACGCCAGCATGGATGGATGTATGGATGGATGAAGCACATGCACACGCGCACACAAACACACAGGTTCAGGTAGGAGTTTGCTAAAACAGAGACCCTTTTCCAGAACTGCCTCTCGGCTCGTGGCACCTTCTGAAATTTCGGCGTTTGGTGTTTATATGCAGCCCCGTCTATGTGATTTAGTCGAACCTCTACACACTTGGCTCAGGAATCGTCTAGACGCCTAACCCCCAACAGCTCTTCTAGGTGATGTCCTGGACTACACGTCGTCCGTAGTTGCTCGGAAGTCAGAGATTTCAGAGCGCAGAGTATTGGGGGTGGCAGCCTTGATGTAGCTGCTTCGCTATTGAAGTGCTGGAAGGCTAAACCGCCGGGCTTGGAGCCCGTTTCTTCCGTTTGGCTGGTAGGGAATGGAGGAATGGGGTACAATTATAACTTTATCACTACCATTACTACCATTCTTCCATTCCCTACTAACCAAAGGTAAGCTGTTTAGGATTTGGAGTGTAGTTCTTTGGATTCGTCGTTGCAAGTTGCAGACCTTGCGTTTCCTCGAAGCATGAAGCACATGCGCTGCATCTCCATGGCCCGGCTCTGCTTTAACAGCATATGCTTCGCGGCGTTCCTGTCATGGAGACCAAGTTCTTTCCAGTGTGACGACAACATAAAGCCTTCGACTCTGCGTGCCTTTCCCAAAAGGGTCAAAGTACTAATGGCCCACACCAACACGTGGTCTTAATGTCCCGAACTGTAACATCCAACGTCTAAAGTGAGTCGACAGTGACAGTCTAGATCTCAGACCCTCCACCTTCGGTTCGAGGTTGGGTGCTTGAAGTTTAGAAGATGAGCAGGTCAGGGTCGTACTTCTAGCCCCCCTTTTCTCGGGCCTGCACGGCCAAAGCCGTGGGTTGAATGCCGGGATCCCAGGAAGACGAGAAGCCGAAGTTCCAGATGGGCATTCACACGGGCCCCGTCATCGCAGGCCTTCCTTAGTACCCAAAGGGTCCTAAGTACATATATAGTTGAAAGCAGGGTTGCTGCAATAGGAATTACTTGTTATGGTTTGGGCAAGTATCTCCAAAAAATATGGGTCTCTTTTTGTTGAAAGTAGGGTTTCTACAATATAGGAATATAGGACGACCTATCTAGCCTGGTTTGGCATATACGTACTGATGGTTCTTTGGGTTATGCCCTTTCTCCGGCTTCCCTGTTTTCACAGAGTACGTTCGAGTACTTTGGCTTATGGTCCAGGTTCGGATGCGAGTGTGAGTTACTCGTGCCGCCACCAGCGCACGAACTTCCCTCGCCCCCCTCCCATTTACTTCCCATGCCAGCGCACATTTTAGTATGCAGCCGGAAATCCCTTTCGTTGGCAGTTCAATAGCTTATTGGACAGCCTACTGATTCCCTCCTTCTGCTTGGGAGATTGCGAGGAAGCAGCATTCAGTGATGTCTTGGTTGCGTATAAGGAAATTCACACCAGGAAAGGGTATAATGGGTTTTGGTGTTGACTTCTGGCACCTCCAAGCCTGTGCGATAGCTCCAAAAGCTCCACCAGCCACTACGCTGAAGAAGGTGTGGTGGGACAGAAGTTGCCCCGCTTCCGCCTCTTCGGGGACACTGTGAACACGGCCGCACGCATGATGCAGAAGGTGGGCCACGCACAAGGGAACCCGCCGCAGAAGCGCACCGCTCCAATGGATTGGTCTAGAGGGCAAGTTCCCTGGCCGTTGCGACGGCTTCAACCCGAGATCCAAGTTCTATGGGGTGAAGGATCAGAAGCTAAACCTGAGTCCCCAAACCCAAAACGCCCTTCGGAGAAAAAACAAGCTTCGAGTAGATCCCTCAGCCCCAGGGCGTTCCGAACGAAGTCCAGTTCGGCGATGAGACGCGGCGCTTCCTCCCAGAGCACATCAGATACAGGCACGGTCGGCGTAGGGCTTCAGGGCGTAACGGCATTACTGCTTAGTGCAAAAAGTCCCAGAGTGTCGTGCTGGCCAGGAACCTTGATACTCTGTTTTTGTTGGGGGGATATCCTTACTTTGTCGACTTATATACTTAACTTAGAGAGAGGAGTCTGGGATATCATGTGTCCATATGAGTATACTTTGACACTGAAATAGAGCAAGAGTGTATGTTAAACCTGACGTCCGGAAGACTCTGAAAAGTTAAGGGCCTAGGGTTTGGGGTTTAGGGCTTTTCGTCTCTATGTAGGGTTTAAGGACATTTAAGTCTTGCTCTTGAGAGGTGTTAGATAGGAGCACAGCAGCAGCCATAATCACAACCACTTTCATGAATCACTGAGCCCCTGAACCTTCAAGCTCCGAAGCCCGAGTCTTGCATTTGTCAAAAAAATCGAACTTCTGCTACGGCCCCACATTCCGTAGCCCTGGAGACTCGACGACCATCCGCTCCTGGTTCAGGTCACGCGGTCCGATACAAATGAAGGGAAAGGGCGCGACTTTGCTGAGTCAGTCAGTGTGTCAAATTTGGGGCTCAAGGTGTAATTAAATGCACCTCCCCGCCGCGCGAGTGGCACATAATTTTGGCGAGGTCCCCAGAAAGTCTAGAAATACTCCAAAAAAGCAAGATTCTGGTAGTTGCGTGAGGCTTGGGTTGAAGACGGAGAGATTGTCAGCTGTCCCTTCTGATGGCCAGGAGGCATCAGAGCTTAGGTATGGGATCTCTAGGGTTCATGTTCTAGCGCCGCTGAGCCCAAATGATTAGCTTAGGGTTCCTTGCTAATGCCTGATTCTAGTATGACATATTCCAAAACCTGTTAACATTGAAAGCCTCCGTACAAGGGTGCACCTCTTCCCTCCCTCACCTTTTACCCTTATGGCGATCTCATCGACACTATGTTGCAGCATACGGTACGTGTCATCGCCTCTCATCGCCTCGCCTCTGATTCCCTAAACCCTATAGACCCTGGTTTTCTTTGTTAGGTCTCCCCAAGCAGCAGCTTCCCAGCGCCCAGTCTTTCTTCTCTGGAAGGCACGTCTTGAGTGCATACAACCAAGCCAGGCCAAGAGTTCCGGAGATCTGAGTCAAGGGGGAAAAGGAGGGACCCTTAATGGGGACCCCTACCCTATAATGGGCTATATAATGGGTATATAATAGCTATATTAAGGTTATATACCTAGGGGACTGAGGCGATGAATGTGTATCTGCTCCTTCACGACCGCCAGAGGAATAACAGGCCGGCACCGTCGGTGAGATGGGTTGGGTTCCGACGCCTTGAGCCAGGGCAACGAAGGCCCCAGTATGTTTTACAGTTCTGGGCTTTGGTGACAAGTGGTCCAGACTTGGGAGAACTCCAACAATTCGGCGTGGCCAGCTCGACAAGCTTAGAATCGAAGGAGCTTAATCTCTGAGTTATTCCGAAGCTGGAAGCCAGGCATTGGTCACTTTGTTGGGATACTTTAGGGCAGTGTGCTGTTGGCTGTTGCCAAGGTCCCGTGATAAGAGAGGGATCAACAGTAGGGCGAAGCCTGAACTATCCGACCCCCCAAGCATCGTAGGTCCCAACCTGCTTCCCTGCATACAACCAAAAGCTGCGCAGGATACACTCCAATGTCAAGCCGTACTCCTATGAAGGTCACGGGCCTTCTATCAACATTGAGAAGCTGCCTAACCACTGAGCCATGAAACCTATAGACTATAGAGCCTATGTACATGTTACGCCCTCCACCCCAAGACATGGCGGATCTCCAGCTAGGTTGACCTTCTCGGGCGCACGACACCGTCTCCCGGCTAAAAGGATTGCGGTGAATAGGAGAGGCCGAATATTCAGTTACGGTCTCGCGGTTGTTGAGCCCAGATCGCCTCCTGCCTGATGCCCTAAACCCGAAACCCTCAACCTAAGTAACTGCACTATTCTAAACTATCCCGAAACCATCCTATAAACCCTAAACCGTGAACCCTCGTGTACCCTAGACCCTAAACCCTGCGCTTCAACCCCAGTCTTTCCCTAAACCCACAACGCTGAATGCTGCCCTAGCTCAAAGGCCTTCCGCAGTCGATGTCTGCAGCCGGACTTTACTCAAGGGTTTTAGAACTTAGGGCTTGTGTATAGGGTTTCAGAGTTTAGGTGTGTGTGTGTGTGTGCATATTTGAATATATGTGTTTATCTGCTTATGTACCTAGCTTTATGTTCTGGCTGTTTGTTGAATTATATATCTGTTTATTTGCTCACTTATTTAATTATGTATCTACTTGTTTGTGGTCTCATGGTTTGGGGTATATATATATATATATATATCTATCTATCTATCTCTATAACGTCCCATGGCCCTTTCAGTAAGAGATCCCGCCGCATCCTGCACTGCAGGCATGAGCCGATTTTCCAGCACTGTACAGATTGCCCAGGCGCCCGTGCAGCGGGGGGTGAGTTAAGACTTACTAAACCCTTCACCCTACACCATGCATAACCTAGGTAGGGTTATTGACTTCCGGATCTGGACACCGCGTATCCTGATGTGGTATGCCCGTCAATTCCCTGTTTAATTGGTAAGGTATCCAGTATATCAGATCAACTGCCAGGTACCGTTTATTTCCATTTCTATTCTGCCTGTGTTCCTACCTGGGATGGTAGGGTTTAGTGAAAGTTCACCGGCACTTGAGATGCGATCTCACGTGCCAGTGTGTAACCCCGTGCCATAGACCAATCCTTCCTATTGGTTTGTCTGTGAAGTTGTCAGTGTATGTAACAGGTTGACGACAACGTGAACTCCCAAGCCCCGGAAACGTAGAGACACAACCCTCTCAAGAGCAATTCTCTAAACACCTCGAACCTTCAACAAAACCCTAAAACTACACCCTGAAGCCAAAACAAGTCAGATACTCCCTCAAGGTCTAGAAACTCCAAACCCCAAAGCCTTGCCCCCCCCCCCCCCACGCGAAGGCCGCAAGATCCCACAACTCCTCGTCAATACATCTTTGACCCCGTTGTAGAGCATTTTAGAACCTGCTTTTAAAGCAGCTCCAAAGCATCTCAACCGCCCTGAGGCCATTGTAAAGACAGGGACCAGCATGGGCTTGGACGAGCAGCGTTCCACAGAATTTCCTGGTGTTGATTCGGGTTTTGTGTTTAGGATTGCGGGCTTTTTTGGGCCATGGTTTTTTTTTCCAAGGTGCGGCCAACCCTTGTTTGCGAGGTGCGGCCAAGGGTCCCTGGTGCATGCGGTCCCCTAGTCCTCTGGTCCTTGGCCTTGTGGTCCCCTGGTCCTCTGCTCGCGGTCCCCTAGTCCTCTGGTCCTTGGTCCTGTGGTCCCCTGGTCCTCTGGTCTGCTGGTCCTCTGGTCCCGTGGTCTCCTGGTCCCCTGGTGTGCATGCGGTCCCCTAGTCCTCTGCCACAGCCACAACCACAACCACGGGATAGGGGTTAAAAACACATTCAATAAGGATCAAAAGAAATTAAATAAGGATCAAAAATTGAGGGGGGGTAACGGAGGAAAGGAAGACAGAGAGAGAGAGAGAAAAGAAAGAAAGAAAGAAAGAAAGAACGAAAGAAGGAAAGAAAGAACGACAGAGAGAGAGAGAGAAAGAAAAAGAAAGAAAGAAAGAAAGAAAGAACGAAACAAAGAAAGAGCGGAAGAAAGCAAGAAAGCAATAAAGAACGAAATACATAAAAATATAGTTATAAGTAAAGAAAGCAATCAAAAATGAACAAATAGATAAATAAAGAAAGCTATAAGGAAAGAAAAAAGAAAACACAAGGAAAGGACGAAAGAGAGTTAGAAACAAAGAAAAACAAACAATAAAGACATAACGAAAGAACAAAAATTAAGAAATAAAGAAAGACGAAAGGACATAAATTAACTAAGATGTTGTTTTGTTCTATGTTATCTTCTGTTATGTTGTATCGTCGTCTTTTTGTTATGTTATTATATGCTATAGGAAGCAAGGTTCAGTTATGTCAGAAAATGTCACACTATAGAGTGCTGATGGAAGAAGAGACACGAACAGGCACGGAAGAACGAAACACCCACCGCCGCGCTTTTCGAGCCGTGCAAGCTTGATTCAAAGAGTGTTTTCGAAACCCATCATGTGAGCGTTGTGTCTGCAAATGGGGGGGGGTGGGGCTGCGCCCCCCCCAACCCCCCCGGCTAACCAGAAGAATCGCCAAATGAGGGGGTGTGTTTAAGATAGGTGATGAAGCGGCATACCAGCAACAGCTACAACACGAAATCCGTCCTAAATGCGAAACTGTAACGAAAATTTGATTTTCCCGAGGAACAACCAAAGATAACGTATGTTTTCCTTCTGAAAACCTGAAGAAATGACACGAACGCCAGAGGTAATAGAAAAATGGTGTTTTTCCTAGGAAAACCAAGGAAAGTTTCAGGAAATACAACGGAATCCGTAGGAAAATCATGTCTTCCCGAGGAAAAACCAAGCAAATCCTTAGGAAATGAAAGAGAATCCGTAGGAAAACAGTGTTCTCCCATGGAAAATTTCAAGAATTGCTGTATCTGAAAAGAAAGAGAGAAACGAAGAAAGGACGAAAGAAAGAAAGGACGAGAAAAAGAACGAAATAAATGAAAAAGAAAGAATTGCAGCAAGAAAGAACGGAAGGAAGGGAGTATGAAATGAATAAAGAAAGAACACCAGAAAGAAATGAACGAGCGAAAGAAAGAAAGAAATCCAGAATAAACAGGCAAAGTTGGAAAATACGAAAGAGAAAGAAAGAACATGAACAAATCACGGAAACAAAGATACAAGCAATAGGATACTACATAGTCCAATCGAATATGCCATACTATCGTAATGGACCATAAAATATTTAGCATAATGTAACTTGATGTTATATAATATATTATGTTCTGTATAGACAAACTATATTGTACTATGTTACAATGTACTACAGTATAAACTAAGATGTTGTTTTGTTCTATGTTATATTCTGGTATATTGTATTGTCGTCTTTTGTTATGTTATTAGACGCTATAAGAAGCAAGGTTCTGTTATGTCAGAAAATGTCACACTATTTTTGTGATGTCGAACCATCTTATGTCGTTCTTATGGTTTACTATGTTATATTATTTTATAGAGTGCTGACGGAAGAAGAGACACGAACAGGCACGGAAGAACGAAAGACCCACCGCCGCGCTTTTCGAGCCGTGCAAGCTTGATTCAAAGAGTGTTTTCGAAACCCATCATGTGAGCGTTGTGTCTGCAAATGGGGGGGGGGTGGGGCTGCGCCCCCCCCAACCCCCCCGGCTAACCAGAAGAATCGCCAAATGAGGGGGTGTGTTTAAGATAGGTGATGAAGCGGCATACCAGCAACAGCTACAACACGAAATCCGTCCTAAATGCGAAATTGTAACGAAAATTTGATTTTCCCGAGGAACAACCAAAGATAACGTATGTTTTCCTTCTGAAAACCTGAAGAAATGACACGAACGCCAGAGGTAATAGAAAAATGGTGTTTTTCCTAGGAAAACCACTGAAAATTTCAGGAAATACCACGGAATCCGTAGGAAAATCTTGTCTTCCCGAGGAAAAAAAATCATATCTTAAGGAAATGAAAGAAAATCCATAGGAGAATAATGTTTTCCCTTGGGAAATTCAGGAATTGCTGTATTTTGAGTGATTCAATTTTTTGGTCCTTATTTTATTTATTTTTGATGCCTCTGCCCCAGGAATTGCTGTATTTTACGTGATTTAATTTTTTTGGATCCTTATTTTTTTTTTTGATCCTGGTGCTTTAGTTTTGTGATCCTTATTTAAGTTTTTTTGATCCCTCACCCTGTCAACCACAAGCACAATCACAACCACAACCACAACCACAACCACAACAACAGCAACCCACGACAACAACAGCAGCAACAACAGCAACAACAACAACAACAGCAGCAACAACAACAACCACGACCAACAACATCATCAACAACAACAACAACAACAGCAACAGCAACAGCAACAACAACAACAACCAGGACGACGACCACGACGACATCAAGGAAACTCCGATGAACCCTCCACAGGGATCCTGCGCGTCGAAGCGCTGGCGCTGTGGTGCGGTGCACATTGACATTTTCTACGTCCCCGATGAACCCTCCACAGGGATCCTGCGCGTCGAAGTGCTGGCGCTGTGGTGCGGTGCACATTTTCTACGTCCCCGATGAACCCTCCACAGGGATCCTGCGCGTCGAAGCGCTGGCGCTGTGGTGCGGTGCAAATTTTCTACGTCCCCGATGAACCCTCCACAAGGATCCTGTGCGTCGAAGCGCTGGCGCTGTGGTGCGGTGTAAGTTTTCTACGTCCCCGATAAACTTTCCACAGGGATCCTGCGTGTCAAAGCGCTGGCGCTCCGCGCAAATTCTTTACGTCCCCGATGAGCCTTCTACAGGGATCCTGCGTGTCCAACCTCAAAAAAAAGGGTTGGCCGCACCTCGGAAAAAAGGGTTGGCCGCACCTCGGAAAAAAAAACCGCCGGCATTTTTTGCCTTTGGGTTTTGTTTGGGCTTCTGTTTTTTTTGAAGCTTTTGGGATCCGGCAGGCTTTTGGGTTCCTTGCTTGGGGATTTGGGCTTGGGGCTTGCGGTTTGTGGGAGCTCAGGAGAAAATATTGTTCAGGGCTTGAGCGGGGCTTGGGGATGTGTTGAGTTTTGGGGTTGAGGTTCTGGGTTTGGGACAGATTCAGGGGCATGATTTGAGGCTGGTGATGATTTTTCAGATTTTTTGAGGGGGCGGACTGGACCATTCGACGTTTGACCTAGCGCTTTGGGCTTCTTGGAAGGTGCGAGGCTGTGATTGTCTCTCTTGACTTGTTTCTCGTGGAATTCCTCGTCCCCAAAACACAGGCCCTGAACGCCCTGAGTCCCAAACCCTAAGCTGTCTCAATTCCAAAACCCGATTAGGGACAGAAACCAGGCCCGACGACGTCGAGATGTTTGAAGATGCCTTGATGGACGCCACTCAGACCTGATAGAATCCTCCTCAGCCCCATGCAGAGTCCTTTGACATAGAAGCCGGAACAAGCAGCAACCATTGTTCCTTAGGGTTCCCAACCACTGTTTCTGAGGGTTCCTTAATATATATCAGTACACAGCAATTTACCTTGAAACCCTGCTCTTCTCATTCAGGCTCCTAGTTTACATCTCTGTTCGAGTTGAGGTTTGGGTCAGCCGTTCGAGGTGTAGTCGGCCTTTTTTCTTGCTGAACCCCAAAAGAGCCCCGAAGCCCCCAACCCTAAGCCGCAAACCCGGAGCCCGAACCGAAGGCTACTGTACCCCCAGGCCTTGGACCAGGAGACACCCCAAACCTTCCTGGTGAACCGCTGTAAGCAGTGCTTCTGAGCCCATGACTGCCCTGATCTGGGAGTGTCCGAAAATAGGGGACCCTAACCATAGAACCCCAAATAGTAGGATCCCTATTGGCCCTATTATAGGGAACCAGAATAACGTACCCCCTATCTGGAAGCTGAACCAACAGATGGTTTTGGGATTTTGAGGCATAGAGGCTTTGAGTTCGTGTTGGATGCTCTGGGAGGTAGTGCCCACCACGCATCTCCCTGCGGTTCTCGAAGCCCCCGGGGTTGCTCCGATACAAATCAGAAGTTTAGTTAGGGTTTACTATTTGTAGGGCTCCATATTTTAAGTGTAGTATATTTGGCCCCAAAACCCTATTCTAGTTATTAAGGGTCCCTATTAGGTGCCTTGCCATTGTCAGGCCGAGCAGAAGCAACAGCAGCGGTGGATTGACACTGGGCAGCAGTAAGACCATGTGGGGATTTCCGAGAATTGGGGGTACCTTATTTTGGGGTCGTTATATCAAGGATCCTACTATTTAGGGTGCTATATTAGGGTCCCCTATTTTCGGAAACTCGCATGTACTTCTGGTACCTGCGTTCAGGCTCTTGTGGTTAACAGCTAATAAGGCCCGACATGAAAGGGATAAACGGGCACATCAGAGAGTTCGTGTACGGTTCCACCTGGCATGGAGAATCCGTCGGCTGCGACGTTAGTCATTCAGAGTGACTAAAGAACAGTACTGCATATAATGCTCTGATACCGGAAGCTGCCCGAAAGACAGAAAACAGTGGACCAGCCACGAGCACCAAACCGATGCGCCCGACGGATCTCAACATCCCCAACAAAGTGACATGAGAAGTCTACGAAGATGGTTGGCTGCTTCAGGGCCCCAAGACAAGACGAGCATGTACCGGCCATGTACTGTAGCGAAGCAGCCAGGAGATCAGCTAAACAAGTCTTGAAACTCCCGTTGCTGCTTGCCCTAACATATCGCACCGTCCTGATGGATTTGGCATGCAAACCCCCGTGCATGTACATGTGCAGGATACCCTACATCTGCAAGGCCCGGAAGATATTTGCTTTGGGTTCCGGCCGCCATGCAATTCTCCCAGTCAGGCACGTGCTTAACCTTACAACGATATCGAGGCGACTGACCCCGCCAAATTGGCTGAAACAGCGTGCGACTGAGATCTACCATCATCATAAATGAGAAGGTCTTTCCGATACGGCCGCCAAAGTACTCCCGGTGTTTAGAATTGTAGGAAGGACTATCGCTGAACCCCAAACCCTATGCCCTCTATTATAGCCTATGAACTATAAACCCAAGCGAAGGATTGGCTCGATTGCAAGTGCGGAGATGAACAGGCGAAGCACTTCCGTGCCGCTTGGACGCAGCAGGGACGAAGAGTGTGCACTGACTCAGGGAGCCTGAGAAGCGCGAAGCCCTATGTATATAAGTTGGGAGGTCTGATGAACAAAGCCATGCCGCACGAGCATTTCGCTTTAGCCTCTCAGAACGCTAGTTGTCTTCGCGCAGCTGTTTGCGCAAAGCAACCCTCCAACCAGGTCAACTTACTTGTAAATGTCAGAAACTGAGGGCACCTGCTTCTTCAATATACATAGTCACAAGAAGTATGATCCTCATTAAGTAGACCTACGCTAGTTCGAGAAACTCCTACTCGGACATTCTCTACATGATGACGAGCAACGGTCCAAGCTCCTCGCATGGGTACCGTGTGTGCATGCGGGTGGGGCAGCTTCTTGGGAAGGTTTTACCTATAGGCTCCATAGTGGTTCCTTTTTTGGATTACCTTATAGGGTTCTCAATATTAACCTCCAAAACGAACTACAATGGAGACTATGGGTAGGTACACCATACACTGTGGTATTTCCTGCGTCTATAACTTGGCAGAGCTAGAAACTTTTCGTACTTTGGTATCGCATATAAATCAGCGGAAGGTCTGTTGAATACAAAAAGAATGGGACGAGTCGCCCAATTAAGTGAACAGAGAGCCGTAATCTGCCCAGGAGTGGTACTACCGCAATCACCTCTTCAAGAAGTTGGTGAAGCGTTTGGACAAGTGCCTTGGTACTGAAGATCTCTTTTATGGTGGGCAGCCACCCTATGGTGGGATTTCGGACTTCGGTACGGATTACTCGCAGTTCGAAGCGCTCTGCTCCAAAAAATGTTGGGCGACGAGACCTGAGCCCGCCTGAGCCCGCAAGCCTCGAAAGCCCAGCATCTTTTACTTTGCATAGACAAAGCTTATACGCCCCACAGATCCCTTTTAAAGGAGCCCTTATAGATCCCTTTTTGAAGGGAACTCTTATCGATCCCTGTTTGAAGGAAGCCTTCTAGATCCCTTTTTGAAGGGAACTCTTATCGATCCCTGTTTGAAGGAAGCCTTCTAGATCCCTTTTTAAAGGAACTCCTATAGAGCTGAGTCGCATCGGCTCCGAGCCGGCTTCAGGCTTGGAGGGTCAGCCCCGGGTCTTCTGCTGAAAAGCCGAAGTCCCAACCTCAAACCCGAAAGCCCTGCAAGGCAGAGCCCCTGAACCCTGGAAAGAACATCCCTAAATGAACCTTAAAGCCCTAAACCCCAAAATTGAGGCAGCTGATCTTCATTTTTGCCGCTGGCCTGATCTTAGATCCATGTCCGAGGGGGGGGGTTAGGTTGCGGCTGAGGGTTTATGAGGCTTTAGCGTCTTGAGGCTTTGGAGATCTTGGGAGTCAAAGGCTTGAAGGTTTAAGGCTCTAAGGCTCTAGGGCTTTAGGGTTTGAGGCCTTGGGGGGTTTAAGGCTTCGCGCTTCGGGGTTGGATGCTTTCGGGTTCACTGCTTTAGGGAGTATAAGGCTTCGGCTTCAGGGGATGCTTTACTTAAGTTATGGTTGGTTCAAGAGTGGAGAGATAAGGTGAGTAGACTTCAGTCGCAGAAGTCGGCACAGCCTCTGAACTGAAGTTCTCGATATCAGGATTCCTGTTTTGGCTGTTTGGGACCCTGGCGGTGACCCCAGGCTTCGAGATACCTTTGTAAAGCTCTTTTGGAACCCCTAGTGCTCCCTTGAAACGGAACTGAACCCTTACAGCGTCCCCAAGCGGAATTCTCTTGCACACGCTTGAAGGTCTTGAGCTTCGTGGAGACGATGCCTGGACCTCAGGGGGCTCCCGGTCCCGCCGTGGAGCTCATTGCCAAAGAAGTCAACCAGGGGCAGCTGGAGCAAAATAATCAAGGATAACACTAGGGCCGGGGAATCATCATTTGCTGCAAGAGCATGGCTTCTATAATAATTAACAGTTCATCATGCTGCAAGAGCTACTACATGAGGTACCACAAAACACGTTTTCGGGGTTAGAGGTTGCCCCAAGGGTCCGAGTACCTAATAATCATATACTGTCCAAACTCCTGACCTACATAATTACTAGCCTGAAACTGAGTACCTAATTATTGGGTCCTTTGGACTCTTAGGGTTGAGGACTTCAGGTCTCCGAGCCTTGGTTTTGTGAGGCCATGGAGCTTCGGATTTCTGCACTCTTTCGGCCCTCGGGTGCTGAAGCGACACCTCCGGGGAACCCACCCTGCAAGCCGAAGCCTAGACCGTGCCAAAGTCAGACAACAAAACATCTTCAAAACAGGTCTCTAAACTCGAAGCCATATCCTAGGCTCGAAGCCTGTAGCTCAACTCAGAACAGCCCTACACCCGACCCCCGCTTGTGTGTTATGCGGTTATGCGACCAAGATACCTTGCAGACAGTCTACACCGGACGACCGAGGTCGGTGGTGAGCACAGGATTTCGAGTTGGGGCTGTAAGGTTTAGGGCTGAGAGTTTGAGGTTGGGGAATCGCTAGGGGCACAGGCATTTCATGGAGCTCAGGGTCTTGGGCTTCTAGTGTTTAAGGGGGATAAGCACACTTAGTTTAGCCTCAGGGTTTCGCTGTAAGGTGTGGCATAGGGTACGGGGATGCGAGTTCATGAACATCAGACTTCGTGACTTTGAGACCTTCCAAAAGTGCTACAAGAAAGCTTCACTGCGGGACCTTATCCATCTGGGCCTATGTTTATGTTGGAAGGCACTATAATGAGGAAGCTTCAATTCCCCTCACGGCATTGGTGTTTGAGTTGGGTTGACACTTCGGATTGTCGGATCAGGATACATCATCTTCGACTTTGCATTTGTATTCAGTGAGCCCGATCTCGGCTTTAATTATTTCGTGCAGCTTCTGGGCTTTCAGGTGTGGAGCCCAACCCTATACTATAGGGGCCTAAATGATTATAGATATTATTTTTTGGGGGTTCCTTATTGTAGTTATGGTATAATGGGCCCCAAAACCCTGTTCCAAATACTAAGGCCCCTATAGTACACCCTAAGCCCTGAACTGCACCCCATAGAGGTTCAGCGTAGAAACTTAGCGCGACAGCCCTGGCAGAACCCAATCTGGCGTCATTCCGGCGTGGGTCGCTGGCTGGATCAGGAGTGCCTCAGCCACAGCTTAGCCCTCTCAGAGACTCCATAATCCTTAAGATCATATATGGATTGTGAACATGATCTCAATTAAGAAATATATACCCTCTCCAATATTTCTAGGGACCCTCAGTCCTTAGTGCTTTTCATACGCTTCTTAATTAAGTAAGGGTATTTGGAGTCATGGGGTTCTTCAGATCACTGAATAGGGCTCCACCCGATCACTGGGTGCGCATACTATCTGAGCCCCCGAACCCCAAAACCATGTTCAATCATATGTGCAGCTCGAACCCTTGTTCTTGTACTCAGACATTGATCTTGTTCGCTCCTTTCGTCAATAAACATGTTTGCTGATTAACTTGTTGAAGCCTCAAGTAGTGCCCTCGATCCTGCTAAGCAGTCTCCTAGAATCATCGCTTTGGTAGTCTACTGAGCCTGTAGAACTGTTTTGTATAGTTTTGCGTGCATCCAGTCCCTGGCAGTGCAATGAAAGCAACTGCAGCCCCTTGGCTGGTATGCGATAATGCCATATTGCTTCGGAAGGATGGGAGGTTGATGGGCTCCTGCGCCTACGCAGGAGTTCATGTACTTCACAGGTCTTAGGGAGATGTTAGTGCACTTGCCAAGGTGCGAGTATCTTGCGACACCACAGCTTCATGAAATAGCACCAGGCCTGGGGGGGAGGGGATGAGGATGTGAATTGTTGTTTATACCTTGGGTTGCCATCACATTGATACAAACTCCAAGCATCAACTCTGTGTGTGTGTGTGTGTCTCTACACTGCGGCTCGTGATGGAGCTCTTGAAATGCATGTGTTTTGTATTTCGACGTAAAGGGTTTTTGCATTTCGGAGTTTTCGGGGTTAGAGTTCAGGGTTTACTCTGGTGTGCTCCGAGGTGCGTGATGTTCGCATCAGTATGAGCTTACAGAGCAGGCCCGGAACGCAACATGGACATGCTGACATGATACGAGCGCGCAAAGGCTCTGGATCAGAGGCTTTGCAACTAATACAGGGGCCGTAATCACTACCCAATACGATTTTGTGGGGGGGGTTCCTTATTATAGTTATGGTATAATGGACCTCAAACCCTATTCCAATTATAAAATAATGGACCTCAAAACCCTATTCTAATTACCAAGACCCCTATCTCAATTATTTAGTACCCTAATGCTTCCTCCACAAGCAGAGACTCTGAAGACCTAAGCCGCATTGAGGCACATTGGAGGGCTGCAAGCACGAGTGCCTTCAGTATGGGCCTTGCAACGTGCCTTGGGCCTGAGGATACCGCATTTGGTGGCTTTCGGGAAGGACAGAGTGGTCCAGTCTGGGGGAGTTTACGATGTCAATGCTACAAAGCACCTACGGCAGAGAACATGAGCTCAGTCCAGCATGCAACAGGCTATGTGTTCGGAGATGGGCGTGTAGTTGATAATCCAAGTTTTGCGGACAGCAGATTCCAAACCGGTAGAATTCTGACAGAGTTTGTTGTCCGGACATAGTTCCGAGGGATTGAAGTACCAATATAGGATAGTGTTTCTAAGCCAGCAATACCTATTAAAATGCCTACAAGTTATCTTGGTACTCCGACCCTTTGCAAGTATAGCTTTTGGTACTGGGCTCTTGTTATATAAGGGGTTTAATGTATGCTACCATAGCCAAGAAACCATATAATTTACCACAAAACCCCTTTATGGTAACTTACACAAATGTCCTTGACAAGAACCAGGGTTTACGACAAGGACCTGAGTAATTACCAATACTTTTCTGGGGGTTCCTCATTATAGTTAGTATAATATCCCCCCAAACCCTGTTCTAATTATTAAGGCGCCTAAATTAGTTTCGTGTCATGTGCTGGATTGCCTGAGAAGGGCTCCCGCTCAAAGGCACTGGAGTGGACGCCGTCTGCCGGGCGCTGCACGCTGCGCAGGCAACAGAGTTCCCGAACCATCAACTTATAAACCTGCGGCAGAAAAGCCGAACCCTACAGTTAGCTTGAAAACTGAAGCCCTGCACCTTAGAGCCCAAAGCCTGGCTTAGAGTAGGGCTGGTAGACTTCGCAAACTGAACTGCAAGGGAGGCTCGTGGATGCGAGCGCGGTCCTGACATAAAAGCTGGCGGAGGTATTCGCTTCGTTGATGGAATGCCCCGATTGTTTCAATTAGTGCAGAGGCCAAGCCTTCATGTCCAGCATTCCGAGATACATCCGCCTCGGTATCCCCAGTCGGTGACAGAGACACCTGTGAGGTGTGAGTCCTTTGACCATCTCACGCGCATCAACGCCTCAGAGACTGAACGTGACTCTTCTGGCACTTCAGATAGGGTCAAAGTTAGTTATAGATGAGTCTTCAGTGGCTTGCCCTGTTAGTCCCAAGGCTATTGCAGTGAAGTTGCACCCCCCCCCCCTAGTGACCTTAGCCCTTCGCAGCAACGCCTCCCAATCCGAAACCAGAACTCTCTGACTCCCTATCTTACATCTTGCAACCTTCCAGTTCCAAAAACTCCTCAAGCTTAAACCCACGAAGCCTCGGAACCCCTGAACCCATCTAAACCTTCGACCCTGAATATGCCGAACCCACAAGCTTCCAGGTCCAAGTCTCCCTTTGGTCCAAACTGCTTTCGCAGCTGAAAGAGCAGTTTTTGAATCCGAATCCGAAGCGACACTGCAGGACCTTGCACTTAGGATTCAGTGCATAGGGTTCTATAGTACCTACACCGCATATACCTATGATTCGAACTGCAGAACCCCAAACCCTCAACCTGCCACGAATCCCTTGCAGCCCTAAACCAGAAGGACAACACTGACAACACCCTACACCCGAACAGCCAGGCTGGTTTTGGATCAACGAGTTGGAGGCAAACGTGAGCGAGGATGCGATGCTCACATGGGACTCCTGGCTGTTTTTATGGGGGTGAGGATTTCTATTGCGCCTCTAGTATCCATTGTAGTTCCTTTTTTTGGTTTAACAAATCGTATGTTTAGTCCCCCATGAAGTTGACCTCAAACAGGAACTACAATGGAGACTATACGTAAGGTTCATCGTGTAGGGTTTCTGGGGCGTGAAGTTTGATTCATGTTCACAGTGTAGAGTTCACAAGGGGGGGTGCCCAAAAGTCAGTGTCGATGACTAGGCAGGCCCAGGGTTTCAGGGTTTAGGGCTTCAGGGTGGTTGGGTGAGAGGGTTTGCGATCCTCAAGAGCCCTTTAAACCCTGAGCCCCCCGAAGCAACAGTCTCAACACCTCTTTAACCCCAAACCCTCAAGCTTAAACCCCAACCCCAACCCCCCCTAAAGCCCTAAAGCCCTAAACCCTAAACCCCGCCTAAAGCCCTAAACCCTTAAACCCTAAACCATGCCTTCAACACCCACGTGGGCTGAGGATCTGGCGGCCCGGCAAAGCAAGCTCACGACGCCACTTGGCCGCAGCGGGTTTGATGTGGTATACTTACCTATACTATTCTTTAGGGCTCCTTATTGAGTATTACGAGTATACTACAAGATAGAAGCCCCAGTAATTACATAGATTTGTCCTTAGGGCTCCTTATTCTGAGTATGTAGGTTAATTAATCTGGTATATATACATATATAGATAGATAGTTATCATACTATTACTTAGGGCTCCTTGTTACCCAAACCAAACCCCTATTCCAGCTGCCAAGGCCGCTACATCAGGGCCGAAGGGGCTTCGTGTAAGGTCATACGGTTCGAGGTTTACGATTTATGGAGGGTTTAGGGTTTCAGGTTTCAGTGTTTCGTGTTCAGGGTCGCAAGGTGTCGTGCGTTGGGGTGCTTTTGGGGCTCCGGGCTATCATCGCACCTTTTCTGCAGCGTCGGAGGATTCCAGTCTCTTGATTTTCGGTACCTGGCCTTGGCATCCGGAATGTCGGGGCAAAACCGTTCGCACTTTACTGTTTGACTGTCGTGCCGGCAAGGAGAGAATGCAATCGGGATTTGGCCCAGGATCAGACCCAACGGTAACCTGTCGTGCTTTCGGGATGTTTCCACCTCGACTACATCCAAAGGGCAGCAACGAGACTGGACGGGCTTGAAGAGATAACTTTAAAGATTCGCTCTTGCAGAGAACATACCATCTTTCCGTGTCCTTGACTGATGCCTGAAGTCACTGTTTGCACAACAGAACTCGGCGACAAAGGTTCATCTGCTCTCGTGCTTTGGCTGCACAAGACATTGCATGGGCAGCCATCGCTGTTCAGGTTTGGTGAGACGACTGAGACATGAAGCTCACACCCATCCAGCTTCATAGACATCTGAAGAACTAGCAACAACATCCCCTTACACTCCGCATATTGAAGTACAAAAACTAGAGGATGCCCCGAAATTGCTATTCTAGTCATTTAGGCTCCAGTCCTGCCAGGATGTGTGGATCTGCGAGGCGTCTAGCTTAACGAGTAAGAAATAAATCTTCTCCTATTTGGGAGTACCATGCCGTAGGAGTGACGGACTAGGCATAGATCTGACAGAAGGAAGTCGTTGTCCTTGACTCACTTACTTCTATTCAGATCTTGCGGTGTTGCTTTTCTGGCTCATGGTTCCGTTTCCAGGGCTCCAGCTTGCCTTCTGTCGAAGCTGCGGTTTCCAGTTCCGGCCTTGTTCAAGAAGCCTGCTTGGCCAAGGCGCCATTTGCTTCTCGTCTCCTGGCTGCAGTCTCGAGAGCAACTCCTACGGCAATTGGCCCATGTACCCATCCAACACATACTTCGGCCTTAAAGTACCTATATAGAGACGACCTTAAGGTCAAAGTATATACTAGATGAGCACCTGGACCCTTACAGTAGAAGCCAGAAAGTTGGAATATGATTATCCTAACCCCTTTATGGTAAATTATAGGGGATCCTGCCATTAATCCATATTCCAACTTTCTGGAGTTGCCTTTAGAGGTACATCTCCAAACCCATAAAGTCCGAAGCCCTCACACCTTGTCAGACAGAGCAGTCGATGCGACACCCACCGAAGCCTTCATCCCCACATTTACTCTTACCTTTGGTTAGTAGGAAATGGAAGGGGGGCCTTAGAAGGGATCTATAAGGGTACTATAATACAGGGGCCTTAATAATCCTATAACTTACCTTTGGTTAGTAGGGAATGGAAGAGTCCTTATAAGGGATCTATAAGGGTACTATAATAGTAGGGGCCTTCATAATCCTATAACTTACCTTTGGTTAGTAGGGAATGGAAGAATGGTAGTAATAGTAGTTATAGTTGTACCCCATTCCTCCATTCCCTATACTAACCAAAGGTAAGTCTAGCTGACACAGTGGCTTAGGCAGTGATCCGTGCAAAAGGCTTGTATTATCGTACAAACGATATGCTCTTCCTTCGGCTCTACTAGCATAATTATGGTCCAAAGCCCCCGCCCCCCCCTTCAAAAACGAAGAGTACATACTAGCTACAGATCTCTACGACAATCTACTTCATCCAAGAGGAAATATGCAGGCGGCCCCTGAGATCCGAATGGTAGTGTCCTGAACCTCTCTGATCCTCGATCGTCGTCGCACCCGGGCAGAAGAGAGATGAAGAGAGATCCAGGGTCCCTCTCAGCCTTGTCCGGGGCCCTGGGAGTTTCGTCGGATCCTGTTTTTTCGTGTTGCTTACAGGCCGTTGAAGAGTCTTTAAGCTGTTGCTTTACAGGGCTTTCCATAGTTAATCGAACACAAATTCATACGAGGTGCATGTCTTAGGTTCGAGTGGCGCAGCTGAGGGTGGACAAAAACACTTGAGTCTATCCCATGATTCATGTCCCAAACTCCCAACCCTAAACTCTAAACCCTGACCCCTAGCTTACAAAACTCCCAGGATCATTCTTGTGTGGCGGATCCTGGTGAGCTGCAGCGACATGGTCACTTCCAAGGATCCTCCACTGACTCATGCAGGGGAAAGTGTCGGAATAATTCGGAATAATTCGGTAAGTAGTACATGCGATCATTCCGCTTTAGTCTGTAGTCCTGATTTGATAAGGACAGTATACTCTACCCCAACACGTATTCCAAATTAATCAGGCCCCGACAGTAGCGTCAAGAGATGCTTTTGGACTCCTTGGTTTGCTCACAAGCCTCACACGTTAGATATGCCGACTCGCTGTAGAGGATTGGGGATGAGAGACTTGACGAGGTCATCCAGCTTCTTACCTTTGGTTAGTAGGGAATGGAGGGATGGGGTACAATCATAACTACTATTGCTACCATTCTTCCATTTCCTACTAACCAAAGGCATGTAAGGCTTGGGGACTTATGCTCATGACTAAAACGGCCCGAAAGAGATTGCTACCTCTACGCTCGGCTCGCAGGGGCCACGAGACTAGTCGCGGCCCATGTGTGACGAGAAACGTAGAATTTCAACACCCGCCTTGCCATAGATCATGTGCATGGAGTGATGCTCCCCTCCCCTTCAAGCATTCCTGAAACCTCCAAGCCCCCAAGCCGCACCCGCAAGGCATCCCGGATCACCATTAATTCCCATGCCACCAAATCTTAGACTTCTGACACTTCTTCGGGTCCTTAGCCCCGACTTCTTGCGGAGCACTCAGGCGCGCGTCATCGAGTGGCTTCTGGTGATCTCCTGTTCCTGTCCAGCAGTCATCCCTGGCTTGTGTTCCGCCGATTCAGGGTATGTGTATGGTGTATGAAGGAGTCTGTATATCGAACTTGTAAGGATCCGGCTGGTCACTAGTTGTGCTTAGGGGTAGGATTTGGATTTCGGGCATTGGGGTGTTAGGCCTCGTTTGTCTGGGGCTTTAGGGTTTCAGGGTTTCAGGATGCGTCAGGTATGTGTTGAGGTCTTCATGGGTGTTACCAGATATGCTCGCCGGAATCAGCTTTGAGTCGGCTACCCCGTCGAAGTCAAAAGCCTCCCTTCGAATAGTATGAATCCTTCTCACAACCTAATGGCACCCATGTTGCAACCTTGGAGTGATCCTTATAGGAACCCGGTACATGAATTCTATATATGCAAGCTGCTACAACCGGCTGAATCGTACAATGCGTAGAACACAAACTTCTGGCAGCAAGGTCTATAATTAACCCCAACACCAAAGCCTGAACCCGGAATAGTGCGAGCCCCGCACATCATGAGGCTCAGGCAACCATACCGACCCTGACGCCCAAACACTTCCAAAATCGCTCACTTTAAGTCCGCGCTCCTTCAAGCCGCCGACCCGAGCTCTATCACCCCAAGCCCTATAAGTGTACAAGCTCTGCTGAGCCCTACAAGGCCTTAGCCCTACACCTCAAAGCCCCCAAGAAGCCCTCTGAACCCTAGGAGCCTAAAAAGCCCTGAACCCCGAGGCTGTGTAGTTTCCTGCCTCCTCTTCCTGACCTATGAGATGATGCCAGAGCGCTTTGTGGGCGTCGGGGGGCTCAGCTGAGGCTTCCGAGGCTTCCGGAGATCTGGGCTTACGTGATTTGGGAGCTTACGAAAACAAGGGGTACCTTATCTTGGGGCCCTTCTTATAATCAAGATCCTACTATTTCGGGAACTATCTTAGGCTAAACTCCTATTTGGTTCAGTTGTACGTCGCCAGCCGAGCCCTTAGCTTGCCTGTTTTGAAGACGTCCTTCACCCGACCGGAACTCATTCTAAATACGAACTACTATACCCCTATCAGACACCCAAAAAGGCTTGTGATGCCGATTACCCTTCAAACCCTATAAAGCCCTGCAGCCGCCCCTAACTATACAACCTTACAGCTGAGGATAAGAATCACAAGATCGACGAAGTCATCCCCTTCGACTTCCCGATTTCAGGCAAATTCAGTGCTGAGGGCACACTACCGCAAAGCTTGGAGTCCTAGGACCTAGTAATGCCTGCTCCGAAGGAAAGTACCGAACCCAGCAACTACAGAAGCCTTCCTACGTGTCTCTAATTGGCCAAAACATAGCAAGATCCTCTTTAAACGAATATGTTCTGGGTTAGGAGCTCTTTCTACGGAGCTTTGTGGAAAGAACACACCAGAAGCCGCGAACCCCAAACCTAAACTCTAAGCTTCTACTAACTGTAAGGGTCTAGGGCTTAGGGACCCTTGGGCTTTGGGGTTGAGGGTTGCCGTCTCTGGGGTTGGGGGCTTACCCTAAGGCCCCAAGGTAGTTCCTTTTTGGAGTTCATATATAGAATCCTATAGGGTAACTCCAAAAAGGAGCTACTTTGGGGCCCTTGGGTCGGGACTCTAAAGTTTGGGGTTGAGGTGGCATGGAACCACATTGAGGGATGCGGGTTTAGTTTGGGGCATCTGTGGGTTTGACTGCCCATGCCTCATAGGCATGAATCCTTCAGGTTTAGAGGCTTATGTTCAGTGTCTGCCTTCCTTCACGATTTTTTCGGCTTGGGTGGAAGATTCACAGAAACTCCTTTGGCAAGCTGTTGCAGGTGTCTCGAGGAACATCACGAGGCCCAGTTGCACAATTCGGAGCCGATATTTCGGCCATTTCTCTGTGGTCTCCACATGTCTACTTTCTTGGCACTCCGATTGCTAGACTCCTTGATTGATGTCCTGGCTTAGTTGAAAAACATATTACAGTGGTGATACTTCAGGATTCCGACGGCACCATACTTTGGACATTTAGCTGCAGGAGTGCTTCTGTTTTTGCCCTGTCCCTTCGAATGTTACACCCTCATCTCTCTTGGGCGTATTTCGCAGGCTCATCGCGTTCCCCGTGCAACTTGTCGACATGCTGAAAAGGGTGTGCGGGGCGGTGGCTAAGCCCCACCCTTTCAAGAAGAAGGTGAAAGTCTTCCAGGGGATCAGAACCTACCGGGTAAAACGGTGGTATTCCGATCCAGGATCCAGGGATCCGGAAGTGCTCTTAGAGATCAAAGTCGATCTCCGAAGCCTCGCAGACTAGAGTCTCGGATAGAGGGCGGCTCCAATGGGTTGAGGGTTTAGTAGTGTATTTGCCGGACAGAGTTTTGCAGCATCTGGACAAGTGCACTTCAGATGCAATGCAGATGTGCGCACGAAAGGTAGCCTTGTCCGGCATGCCCTAGCATGTTCCTGCGCTCTGTACCGAGGTACATGATGACGATTACTGCATATCCTTTCCGCTTCTTTCCTTGCTGCGTCTTCCTCCTTGGTACGCTCTTCATTATGTGGGTGGAGTTCTGGCGAATCTTCCCTGGGTGGCTCGCATATGATTCAGGCCCTCTAGCTTTGAAGAAGCTCCGTCCGAAAGCCCAAACTCTAGGCAGCTAGACCGTTGAACCCCTGTATGAACCCCCAAAGCGCGAAAGACTTGGATCCCAAATCCCTCCGTCATCCCTACGCCGGTAAGCCACAACCTACACCGCAGCAAAGCCTCATCGCGGTTCAGCTTCGGACGTATTGGGCATTGGCTTTGCAGGCTTTGGGGGCCTGTTACCGGTCTTCCAGTCGTGCCACCAATGAAACCATGTAATACCATAGTAGCAAGTTTCTTGTGATTTGCAGTCTGGTGGAAGGTTTTTGCCCTAGTTTGGGTGATCCCGTCTCATTTGCGATGCTGGACATCCCTTCTCCAAGGCGCACCAACCATGAGGTCGCATGACACACGCGAGCCTGCGGACCCGGACGGTTTAAGCTCCATGCAAAGCCTAAACCCTCAACCCCACAAGCCCCAAAGCTTAAACCCTGTCACGCTTGAGGAGGTGGGAGAACCCAGAATTCGAGACAGCAAGCACCCCGTGAGTTCTCTCCGGGTTTCTTGAGCCTGTTCACGTAAAGCCGGTGCATGAGGCTCTATCTTCTTCCCACCTATGGTGTGGCAGCCTCAGGTGTAGGTGTGGAGTAATGCAGGTGGGCCCACGGCAACCTCACTCAACGGCTTGCCTCGTAAGGGGAATGAGATAGTGATCTTAGTTTGGAGTGTTCCGTCATATGGGAGTTGCCGAAAAGTAGGGGTACCTTCTTTTGGGGCCCTTATAGTAAGGATCCTACTATTTAGGAAATTTAGGGTACCAAATTAGGGTCCCCTGTTTTCGGAAACTCCTATATTCCCATGCTGGATCCCCGAAGCCAACTCGAAGCATGAAGGCCTTCCACATAACTCGAGAGCCTGCAAGGTCTCTGCACCCTGAACCCTCGAGCCCAAGACTGCATTATATAAGTACATACTAATATATATATATATATATATATATATATATGTATATATATATATATATAACATACCCCCCCCCCAAGCCCGATTCTAATTATCAGGCCTCCTATCGTGTAAATCTGTATATGCAAGGTCTCCATGACTTGAAGCCTTGATCTGAGAGGTTTGCCATAGCTTTTTTTCGTGAATCCGTGCTCGAAGCAGGCGATGAGCAGTGAAGATTGGGTTTAAAGTTGAGGGTTCAGAGTTTAGTTAGGGCATCAGGGACGAGTGAGTCTGATGGACTCTGGATTAGAGGAGTATGGTGTGGCGGTGGGGGGGAGTGAAGGGTTTTGGGGAAGACTAACCACAGCGCTTAAGCCTGGTGCTGTCAGACTTTTGCCCTAATATTTTCATCCCTGAAAGCTGAAATACTTGGTCAAAACATGCACAGTCCCTGCTTCTGGTTCTATTCTCTACAACCTCAGCCGTACAGTCCTGGACGATCCCCCTGTGGCATTGCTCCTTCCTGCGACTCAGGACCTTTGGTATTTCTTCTGTTTCAACCTTCTGCGGCAGTTCTACTCGTACCAGGCCCCGCAATGCGAGTTTGAATTAGTAGGCTGTAGGTTTGCGCTCGCGACGATGATTTCTGTTCGCGCATGGGTCTTTGTTCTGCAGTCTGGTTCATGCGGACCTTTGTCACGGTCTGGCCGCAACAGGAGGAGAAGCTGTTTCGAGCGCAGCATGCTGCTGGCTGTGCTGTAGAGAGGGTCATGCGCCCCGGCAGCAAGCCTCTGCACCCAGGGTGTGCGAGCTTAGAGAGTTCGGATGTTGGCTCCCTGCTGATTGCTGAGCTTGTTGGGATGGAGAGGTAGCTTCGAGAGGAGATACTCGCAAATAATGCAATCAAGTATAGATATGTGGGGCAGAAAGCCAAGTTCAGTAGCCGCCCATGCATACCTCTGAAGATGTGGCATTGGCAGTCTGATATGTCGTTCAAGATGTGGGGGATAGGCCGAATGACGCAGGTTGGCGTGAAATTTCATCCACACGGCTTCAGATTTGTGCGTGCGACACTTCGTAGTAAAGGGAACTCCAGAAAGTTGGAATATGGTTTCAGGGTAGGATACCTTATAAATTACCATAAAGGGTTTAGGATAACCATATTCCAACTTTCTGGCTTTTACTTTAGCATGTGACCATGCGGCAAGCTTCTTGCATCCGGACGCCTTTGGGCTCTGAAAAAACCTCACGAGTCTGCCAGATGTGGACGTGGTTTTGTGTGTGTCCAGGTGAAGATGCTGCGCATTTGGACACTATCAGGTGCCGAACTGGCCAGCTTGGCTCCTGAGGAATGGGAAGATATCAGGGAAGTGAAACGGTATTTGCATCAGCAGTTCCACGTGCCTCCACGCTTCAGGCAGAGGCTCTTACACCAGGGCGAGCCTTTGGTCGACACGGCAAAGATAGATGCGCCTATGGATTTACAGCTCGTTCTGCTTCCCTTTGTTGATGCCTCGCCATTACAGGTCGAGGCGATCATCAAAGAAGCCAGCTGCGGCCGTGCTTCCGTGCTCGAGGCAATGCTCAGAATTCCCATAGATCCGGATGTAGCCGATGGATTTTTGAACAGGCCACTCGCACGGGCCTCTTCTATGGGCCGGGTTGACATCGTGAACTTGCTGCTGGAAGCAAGGGCAAACGTGGGATTGTCTTGCACCGCAGCCCGCACGGCTCTTCATTTGGCTACGTGCATGGGCCACATCAACGTTGTGAACTTGCTGTTGGAAGCCAGAGCCCACACCGACTTCTCTGACGATAGAGGTGTGGCGCCTCTTCATATTGCTGCCCTCCTGGGCCATATTGACATCGTGAACTTGCTGCTGAAAGCTAAGGCCAACACGGAATTGTTTGGTCCCCACTGCTGCACGCCTTTGCAGATTGCTGCTTTCGGGGGCAACATTGACATCGTGCAGTTGCTGCTGGAGGAAAGGGCGAACATGGATTCCCGCAGCGATTGGGGTACAGCTCTTATTTCTGCTGCCAACAGGGGCCACGTTGACATCGTGAACTTGCTTCTGGAAGCCAGGGCCAACACGGACTTGTTTGACAGCCGAGGTGTGACGGCTCTGCATTGTGCAGCAGCTCTAGGCCATGATGGCCTCATTCGTTTGATGCTAAAGGCTGGGGCTGACTGGGATGCTGCCACCTGTAATGGCATCACAGCATTAATGCTCACGTGCGAATACGGTTGTGTTGAGACGGCTCGCCTGCTTTTGGAAGTAGGTGCCAAACAGGACCTGCGTGCCAAAAACGGCTTGACAGCATTGCTTATTGCATCTCGAAACGGAAGGGCTGACATAGCTTGCTTGCTCCTGGCAACCGAAGTCAACATTGGGGCGCTTGATGAAGCTCTTCGGGTGGCATCTCAGTTCGGCCACGTGGCGGTTGCACGACTGTTGATTGATGCTCGTGCAATCAAATACCAAGCTGCCACCGGGCGGATTTGCCATCACAGACCGGGTCTGACGGTAGTGCCTGCCACTCGAAAGTTTGTGCCCCAGAGCTACGGGGGCAGATCCGTACATAACACTCAGACCTCCGCGTATGGAGTGTGCCAAAGCCGGATGGGGGCACATGATAACATGGCTGTGCACGGGAACTTTGAAGACTGCAGCGAGAGCGAGGAGGATGTGGATGACGGCGACGACGGATTCCTGTCGTGGGTTGCTGGTTTCTGCAACTTGATGTCCTGCCGTGATGCAGGTTAGTATGAAGAAGCGCTCGGTTAATCACCCTGCAGCAGTTTGCAAGTGGCAAGAGGGGACAAAATGGGCATGGTAGCGCAGATTGGATGCTACCTGATTTGCAATTTGCAGTATTCGCAGTTAGCCTCTTTCCTCTATGGCAAAGACGGACAAACATCAGAGACAACAGCAAGAGTGCGGATCAGTCTGAAGCATTTTGCGCGAAATCCATGAGGCACGAAAAAGCACGCTAGAAATGCGTCTCAAGCTTGCGAAGCCCAAGTTCAATGTTCCGGCATGTTCCAGCCTTACTTAGTCTCACCTGAACACCCGTCAACATTTGCCTTTACGATTTCTTATCCGACAGACCCACAACGGGCCAGTTGTCCTGGCCCGTCTGCTCCGAACCTCAATAGACAACCGGAGACTTCGAGTAACGGCAGTCCGAAGTGTTGCTTCGTTGGAGATGATAGTGGTGCTCTCTTCCGGCACCCGATGGTCCGCGATCCAGATTCCGGACCTGGTGTGTAGGCTTTACCTACCTGCATTCATCTGAGGAGCCGCGTTCACAGCATCCTGGATACCATGATGCCAAAGCAGGCGCGGCCTCGGTGCCAAAGAGCCCCCAGACCAGCCCGACGGAATTGACGACATGCGGTTCAATGTTTGATAGAACGAAGTTGGTTCCCGGTACTGGTCGCTATGTCATCGGTTAGATGGGGTCGAGTTTGCAAGTTGCGAAGAGCCTTTAAACCTAGCAGTTATAGGCCCTCAGTGGTTTTGTAAGTGGCACTGCAGTACCCCAACCTCGACAACCCAATGCGCTGATTGATAAAAAGCAATGGAAATGGCTCCTCTGGTCCGAAAAAAACACAGAGCCTTGCAAGAGAAGGGTACTTAGTTACAGTAGCGGGATACTTGCTGTGTGTACTTCCAGCCCTTCTTTAGGTGGTTATCACCCCGCTTACTACTTAAAGGGGCCTTAACAATTAGCCACCCAAACCCTGCTCTGATTATCCAGGCTTTTTTCTTTAGGTCTCCGATCCTTTCAGTCGCTCCAGGTGGTGAGAGAGATCGCGGAGAATCCAGATTCACAGCAGCAAGGGGAGAATCTTTCGGCAGCTGCTGCGGATGTGCTGTTTCACAACTTCCATGCTTCGTTGAAGTTTCTTAAGAACCCGAAGACCAAGCCTTGCCTTGGAATCCACCACCTGCTAAGCCCAAGACACAAGAACTCCGAAGCCCTGACCTGCAAAAGTGCCGTTCGAGTTGAGGACGTCCCCTTGCCCTCACACAAGTATCGCTTGGCCACGATTGCTCCTCGATTGATGAGGGGGTTTGGTTGCCGTATACGCAATCGCCATTCAGACTCCAGTGAGTGTACTATTGCTGGGTTCTGGATACATTATGAAATAAACGTCTACACTTTTTTCTCCCTGGTTACTTCAAAGTCCAGATGTGGCCGTGCGCAATTAGCAATACTGCTCCTTCTCCGGGTTCCTGAATATACCTTTGTCATGGTTGGGCAACATTTTGCATTTGTATGGGTACTTAGACCCAATTTAACCCTATCCCCACCATGAACTAGATACTGACATCATGCACGCCCCCAAGACCCCAGTCAACCGATCAAACCCCGAAAGACTAAATTAGCAATCCCAAACAGAGGCCTGAGCCTGGTCTGATGGTAGTCTGATGTTGAAGAGGAAGTAAGAACTACTGGGTGGTTGTCAAAATTAGGGTCCCTTTTTTGAGTCCTTAGTATAATACGACACCTATAATTTAGGGTACCCAAAAAGGGACCCTGGTTTTGACAACCACCCTACTGCAAAGCCACCTCAGATCTCTGTTCCCAGAGACTCTCCTGAAACAGAAGCCCAAAGTACCGAACATGGGGTCTGAGTCAGAAGTACTACTGTCCCCTCATTGTCCTCAACTGGTTAAAGTACAATGATATCATATCCGTATCCCTTTTTCAGCTTCGAAAGGAATTCACTCTCAAACCGTAAGCTCGAAACCCTAAACCCCAGACTCCAAAACATCCCCCCAATAATGAGGCCTGAATCCGGAAATCCAAAACTCGGAACCCTGAATCCCCGAACACCCCACGCCTCGAAAAGCGGCCCAACGAATCAGGTCGCCAAATCACAGCAACACCACAGAAGAAGTTACATAGCAGCCATGATAATGCCCATGAGAATGCTAGTTTACTCATAGCATCACAGATGTTCGGACATTCTTGTTGGGGTTACGTTAAGGATCTTAAATATGAAAGTGGTCGAGCCGTAAAAAAGAACTACAATGGAGACTCATAGTCGCCGTCGCAACAACAGTAACGGTACTGAGGTGCAAGCAGACCTGGTGGGCTTCACTGAGATGGCCGCTTCAAGGGAGCCTGATGAGGTCCAGCTTAGGGAGGGCCCGCAGGGTTGTTGCGCTTCAGGGTTTACAGGAAACTCCAGGAAGTTGGAATATGGTTTCATAGTAGGATACCCTATAATTTACCATAAAGGGTTTAGGAGAATGATATTCCAACTTTCTGGCTTCTACTGTAAGGCTTCAGGGTTTCAGGGGTTCACTCATTTTCAGGGTTTTTTCATGTTCGAGAGCTTAGGCTTCAGGGTTTATAGGGTTCAGGTATTCTTTGAAGGGAGCATGTTTTTCCCGCCTTGACGAAAAATCCAGACTTTGCATCCTACACCCAAATCCTTAAACTTATGATACTGATTAATACCATTGTACTAGCAGCAGTTTTGGTCGTGCCATTATTACATTGTGCCGGGAATTTGGAGCCTTCGTTTGGTCCGGTCATCTTGGGAATCGTGCAATCTTGTCGGCTTGGGCATGGTCATCTTTTTTGGGGGGTCAAGATGACCAGGTCATCTTGCAATCTTGGTCATCTTGCCCCACTTGCCCGACTGGTTTACCATTTAGACCAAGACGGCCAAGCTTGCTGATACTGTTGATGGACCAAATCCTGCATGACCCTCAGGACTCTAAACTATGGGAACTATGGTATATTCCTCATAATGGGTAATGCAGGATTTATATCATCAACCGTAGTAATGCGAGAATCTTTTGTCGAGGTGGTCAGGCTCATTGAGCAGATCTTCAAAATCTTCGACGACCTCACCGACTTCCTGGCAATCTACAAGGCAGGGTGCAGGGTTCATATACTAGAGGCTCGGAATAGGTTGCCGAGTACTAACAAGCCATTGGGCGGCCCATGAAGAGGATCCCATTTCAGCTCACGCCCTAATCGGGATCCAATTAGGACTTGCAGATCTACTGGGTTCTCTTGGCTTAGTTTTCCGTGTTGGATCGCCAAAATATGGCGCCACTCTTGAAGTCGCGGAGCGTCTTGCATCTTTCAATGTAACACCTCAAAATCTTCGGAGTGACCTGTAAAGCTGTAAGACAGCTCAAAACCAACTCTGCCAATTCGCTTCGGTTTTGAGCCGAAGCGGATTCGGACCTTCCGCCACCCCACTTTATCCCAGAAACCTCTCCACCTTGAACTAGCCGTATGCATGATACGTATATGGGCCTTAGCAGTCGGAACTATTAGCAATTGCATCCCCTGATAGTCCTGTTTTTGTCATAATGGTTAGGATTAACTGTTATCACATATACTGAATCCTTATCGGAGTGGTGAAGGCCCATATGCTACTGAAGCGCGTTCCCTCTGAGTACCAGGGGTATAGGCTTTGGATTGCAGAACTTATTGCTTTCCGCGTTTTTCACTCTACGTTCATGAGGTCGCGTGTCGGGCTACAACTAGCACGCCGGCTGTGTGAAAACACAGCCCTAAACACATCGCACCGACATCTGGGTACCGGGCTTAGGGGTTCTAACGGGGTCGCTGTGGCTAAGGGCTTTTGTTTTTTTTGGGGTTTAGGGTTTAGGGTTTAGGGTTCCTCCCCCTCCACCCATCCCCCCCACCCCTAACCCGCCGGCTGGCAGATTGAAACTGTTGGTGACGCCTACATCGCCGGCATGGCCGAGCCGCCGCTCACGGCGCATCACTCGCCTGTGACCCTCGGCTCGAAGTTTCCGGTGTTGGATGCATGTACATAAATACCGCAAGAGTCCCAACTTCAGACAATGCAGACGCATTTTTCTTCCTTCGAGTTGCCAAACGCAGATATATCGATCCCCCTTCACCCCCAAACAAAACATGCACAGTTTGACTGTTCAGGCTTCCAAGACAACCTCGGAAGCCCCTTTTTGTGTCCTTGAGGACGGTGCTCCGGTTTTCTTTGGCGATGGTGGAGAAGTTGGAAGCCTGGTCCGGGCCCCGGTCCAGCGGGGACTGCGGGAGTGCATTCTGAAGTCCGAATCTGAATAGTTAGTAAGTACCCTAAGGCTCCTTAGTAGTTCCTTTCCGGGGTGCAGAATCCAAGAAGGTAGTCCCAAAAAGGAACTACTAGGGAGCCGATGGGTAGTTGTCACATAGTCTGCCGTTCTAACCCTCACAATTGTATACTCAGATACGCGGCAAAGCTGTATTCTGATCATGAAGGCCCCTATACTGGGTTTAGAGGAGGTTTGTCATACTATAGCATACCTCAAAAGCTTAATTTCAAACTCCGGTTTCTCGAGCGCAAGTAGGATTGCAGAACTTCTGGAATTTTTTTGTGATACGAGAAGCTTCGGGGTATATTCATGATAAGGGGAGTGTGGCTTATGGGTTACCTGAAGTGTCTTGGTTTTGAATTTTCACTTGGGTGTTGGGCAAGGTGGCTTCGGTGTGGCATTGGTTTTGTGGCGTCATTTTGGGCTGGAGGACCTCTCAACAGAAAGAAACTCCTGCTGTATTTCGTTTCACGCAGGTCCTTGGCCCACGGCGAGAACGTGCGGGTTCGTGTCGGCGTGCATAGCGGCGGCTGCGTCGGGGGCGTGGTGGGGAAGGAAATGCAGCACCCAGGCTCTGCTTCAAGACTCGGGCCGACTAGGGTTTAGGGTTTCTGCCTTAAGACTTGCGTGCTCTTGTCCAGGATTTGAGGCTTACTTCAAGAAACTGTGGAGTCAAGGGTTTAGGACTATAAGGGTTACTTCGACGTCTTTGCAGGTATACCGAGCGGAGTAGCTGAATCAGTGGCACCGTGACATGCTGTTTTGAGGGCTTCGGGAAATATCTGTCCCCACGTCGAGGGACTCTGCCGACGAGTTTGTGCTATTCGATCATGCTCTTCACCTTCTCACTGCCCAGCCAACCGTGCACTTCTTGTGGGGACCCTATTTTTTTTAGCCCTTTTTTTTTTTTTTTGCCCTTTTTTTTTTTTGTTGGCCCCGCCGCGGGAAGGAAGGAAGGAAGGAAGGAAGGAAGGAGGGAAGGAAGAAGGAGGGAAGGAGGGAAGAAAGGAAGGAAGGAAGTAAAGGAGGCAGGCAGGCAGGGAGAGAGGGGCCCTGCCGCGGGAAGGAAGGAAGGAAGGAAGGAAGGACGGAGTGTGTATATATATATATATAGTATATACAGTATGTGTAGTATAAACGGTGTATACAGTATGTATGGTAGATGTAGTAGATATAGTACATATATATAAATACATAGTATATATATATATAGTATATATATAGTATATATATAGTATATATATATAGTATATAAAGTATATATGTATATAGTATATATATATATATATATATGTCTGGTATATATATCGTATATATAGCATATACGGTATTTTTATATATATTATATATATAGTCTATATATATAATATGTATATATAATGTATATAGTGTGTATATATAGTATATATATAGTATAAGTAGTATATATAATATATATAGTATATATAGTATATATAGTACGTATATAGTATATATAGTATATATACTATATATAGTATATATAGTACATATAGTATATAATATATATATATATATATATATAGTATATATAGTATATATACTATATACAGTATATATAGTATATATAGTATATATAATCAATATGGTATATATAGTAAATAAGAAGGAAGGAACAAAAGAAAGAAATCAATAAAGAAAGAAAGAAAGAGAGCCATGCAAGAACTAGAGAAATAAACAAATAAAGGATGCTACAAGTAAAAAAGAAAACAAGAATAGAGAACTAAGTAAATAAAGAAAGCTATAAGGTAAGAACAAAGAAAACACAAGGGAAAGAACCAAAGAGAGTTAGAAACAAAAACAAAACAAACAATGAAGAAATAACCAAAGAACAAAAACAGAGAAATAAAGAAATACGGAAGGCCATAAATTAATAAAGACAATCAGAAATAGTTAAAGGAACAAGAAAGACGCGGAAAATAAAGAAGAACGATACGTAAGACTATCGCTTCATTGTGCTTTTTTTGCCCTGGGTCCTAGGGGTGCGACGCTTAAATCGGCTTGACGCAGTTTCAGCGAGAACTAACGTCGCCCCGGAAGAAACAGCGAAGGAAGAACAGAAAGAACACGAGTACACAAACGAAAACGTAGAAACTACTTATGCTTTGCCTTACTCAGTCCACTGATCCTCCACGTCAGCAGCATTTCCCCTTGCCCTGGCGCGAAACCGCAGCCATGGCTTCTAACTACAAGCACGTCGCGCCCGACAACGACGAGGAGACCTGATCCTGAATCCCTAGAACTGAAGCGCTAAAACCAGAAAGCCGTTAAACCCTGAACCCTGAAGCCTAGACCCTGGCAAACCTTGTCAGTGGAGGCTTGCAGTATGGGAACCTTAGTCAGAGTGCAATGACCTTAAACCCTAAACCCAAAAACCCTGAAGCCTAAAACCCCATTAAATTTGGCAGTGGTTTATCGTTTGTGCTTACGTTTGTTCGAGATCTGATCCATAGTTTCGGATGTCGTTCTTTTTCTTGCTTAACTTGTTTTGATGCTTGGATCCTATGATACTTATAAATTTGGGTAAACCAGCAAGGACTTTGCAGTGACGCCACCAACAACAACACTACTAGCCAAGGGAAGGAAGACAGGAAGAAATAAATCACGAACAAATCGAAAAATAGAAAGATAAACGGAAAGAACCAACCACAGAAAGACAGACAAGGAATGATCGAACGAAATACAGAACGCAAACCCAAAAAAACACAAGGGAATAAGAACAACACAGTAAGAAAGACAGAACAATCACGCTGAATGGCTGCAATTGCCGTATTTTCATTTTTTGATCCTTCTTTGATTTTTGTTTGACCCTCGGGTTTTTTATCCCTACAACTAGAACTAAAACTACAACATACTACACCTACAACCACAACGCCAACAACAACAACACTACTAGCAACAACTACACCACGAAATCCGTCCTAAATGCGAAATTGTAGGAAAAATTTGATTTTCCCGAGGAATAAGCTAGGTAACGTATGTTTTCCTTCGGAAAACCTGAAGAAATGCCACGAACGCCGTAGGTAATAGGAAAATAAGTTTTTTTCCTAGGAAAAACCAAAGAAAACTTAGAGAAATACAACGGAATCCGTAGGAAAATCGTGTTTTCCCCAGAAAAAACCAAGCAAATCCTTAGGAAACGAAAGAAATCCATAGGAAAGCAGTGTTTTCCCTTGGAGATTCCTGTGGAAATACAGAAAATCCCGAGAGAAGAGCTGTTTTTCCTGTGCAAATACAGAGAACCCAGGAGCCCAGGGCAGGGGAAAAAAAAAAAAGGGCCAAAAAAAAAAAAAAAAAAGGGCAAAAAAAAATTCTCCACCCCTTCTTGTCCTATAGCCGGCCATAAAGTTTGCATTGGGATCTGCGTTAAGTGTGCGGTACATGGATCCCCCTGCTCATATACATTTATGAAGGTCGAAATATGTACGTAATAGTTCCCCAGTTATATAGCACAAGATCTTCTAAACACCCCTACATGGTCGTTTAGGTCTTCTGAAAGGATTGGAGGCAAACGTGTATTTTCTCAGGGCTGATGACTTGCCCAGCTGCCCATCCGTCGCGTTACATCTCATGTCAATGCAAAATTGGGGGTTTGGAACACTGAGCGATAGTATTGGAGGAAGCCTTCATCTCAGAACCCGGCCTTTCCCGTTTGGACCTCGTGGACATCGCCCATGAACGTTGGTCTATGCTTTATAGGGTTTAGGGTTTAATTTATATCTTTTATAAGGTTTTAGGGCTTAAGATTAGGTCGACAACGGAATTTGACTTTTGCACCTAAGGAGGTATCACCTTTTCGGCAACTCGGCTTTGAATAGCCCCGTGAGACCAAGCCCTGCGTCGAGCCCGAACCCCAAGCAGGTTTGGACTCTAATGGAGGGGATGGAAGAATTACCGATATTATGCCCTAGGGCTCCTGATTATTCGGCCCCTACATTGTTACTGAGTTTTCATTTTACACCTAGTGATGAGACCGTGTGGTGTGTCTCTGCGCTGGCAGTGTTCTAGACTCTAGACATGTATGGGTGGTTGTCAAAATTATGGTCCCTTTTTGGGTACCCTAAATATTAGGTGCCGTATTGTAATAAGGACCCAAAAAGGGACCCTAATTGTGACAACCACCCGTATAAGTCTCATGCCTGCTTTTCCGTCCTGCCGGTAGTCAGTAGGCCCTCCACTGCACAGTCCAGGTGGCAGGCTCGACCGGTAAAGCAAGCAGGGTTTGTATGAAGGGCTCTGGCCACCGTATCTAGAGCTTCCTCGAATATTGGTGAGTGTAGAATATCGGATGCTATTGAAATAACATTCACTCCCAATCTTGAGTTCTGATCAGAGTCTAAGATGATCGAACCATCCTACAGGTCAGGTCTTCATCCCAAACCCCATAAGTCGAAGTCCAAAACAGGGCAGCCTCGAAGTCTGAAACCAACAACTTCCAGCTTCTGCCGCCACTGCCGCCACCAGGGGTGTAGGGTTTAGGGTTTTAGGGCTTTAGGGTTTCGGGTTTAGGGTTTTAGGGCTTTCGGGTTTAGGGTTTAGGGGTTTAGGGTTTAGGGTTTCCACACAGCATGCATGCAGACTCACGCGCGCACATACACAAAAAGGCAGGCGACACGGAGCTACAAAGCCAAGACACCCCCAAGGAAGCCCAAAGCCAGAGTCATCCCGGGCCCTGAAAGCTCTATGGGAAGCCTAAACCCTCGAATTCCCTAAACTCCCAAGCCTGGACTCTGATGGTATGAGAGCCCTCATTTCTACAGCCTCCCCCAAAGCCCTACAGGCCCTAAGCGCGCCCCCAAAACCAAAGGGTCCAAGTATCATGCTGGTATATATATATATATATATACTCTGGTCCCCAACATACCCTATAAGTATATGCCATAATGATATATACTCTGGTCCCCAACATACCCTATAAGTATATACCATAATGATATATACTTTGGTCCCCAACATACCCTATAAGTATATACCATAATGATATATACTTTGGTCCCCAAAATACCCTATAAGTATATTCCATAACGATATATACTTTTGTCCCCAAAATACCCTATAAGTTTATACCATAATGATCTTTGGACCATTTGGGAAAACCCTGATGGCCCCTGATGGATGCATCCGCGGAAGACCCAGGCTCTGCCATGCCAGTGCTGGACCTACTGGAGCTGCCCGGCTGCTTTAGCTATGGCTTCGGCCTTTAGAGAGGGGGAGAGAGAGAGAGAGAGAGAGAGAGAGAGAGAGAGAGAGAGAGAGAGAGAGAGAGAGAGAGAGAGAGAGAGAGAGAGAGAGAGAGAGAGAGAGAGAGAGAGTGAGAGAGAGTGAGAGAGTGTGAGAAAGAGAGAGAAAGAGATAGATACATATATATATATATATGTATATATGTATGTACGTCTATATATATATATATATACACATTCATATGTCATATACTACTACACTACGTTTTTTCTATATTGCTGACCTATCGGGGAGTTGGACTGGGAGACTAGGATCTGTCTGTAGACTTCATAAAGCGAGCCCGAGTTTGTGTGGAGCCTGGTTGGGTTTTGAGCGTACCTTCGGTTAAGCACCCGGTTAGAACGTCGAAAAACCGCGGATGAAAGAGGTATTATGGATCCCAGCGTCTTGAATGTGATGCCGGAAATTCCCCCCACCCAAAAACGAAGGCCCAACAAAACAGCCTAAACCCCTAAACCCCAAAGCCCAGAAAGCCCTAAACCGCAAGCCCACCCCAAAGCCCGAAAGTGCGGCCTCCTCAAGGAGCACATCGCTCCCGGGATTCGTGCAGATCAGCAGCCCCTGCATGGAGGCTGTACAGCAGGAGATGAAGAGCAGAAATCGGGCCGCTGGACGCCACAAACCTGGGGCATTTCAGGGGAAGGGGTTCAGTTCATGGGGATTGTGGTAGGATTAGTGTAGGATTTGGGGTTTCAGCTTTACGGTTAGGGTTTCGGTGTGAGGGCGAGTTCGGGGTTTAGGGAGAGTGCAACCTCTTTGCTCAATACACCTCAAGACCCCAGTGCCCCACCAAGTCTACACCAAACGCCCCTGGTGCTGCAGGGCTTCTTGGGAAGTTGTTGAGCTTTCGTTCCGGTTGACGCCTTGGGGGGGCTTAGAACTTCGGGGTCTACAGTTCAGATGCCCAAGTACTGTGGCCTAGATGAGGACGTGAAGCTGCAGTGAACCACCCTAAACCCGTATACACCCCCAAACCCCTAACTACGCTCCTGAACCGGGTCTCATGAGAATGAGTACCCAGGCAGAGAATCCGGAGCACCGCATGCAGCCGCTGGAGTTTCGGCTCCTTTGCTCATGTTTGCGCGCGTCCAGGGGTTGCTCTCAAGGAACCCTAAGCAACCCTAAACTCATGGGGTTGGGGGCCACGCTGGCAGGCGAAAAAAGAGACCGTCAACCCAGCTTTAAAAACAAAAACAGGAATCCGGAGGGGAACGTCGCTAACTGCATACCCTCAACTGAAGGGATCCATGTCTGTTGATGGTGTCAGCTCGCGACCACAACTCTTGAACAAGCACGACCGGGCTTTTGTTTTTGTGAATTTGAGTCGTTATCACGGCCTTTTGCCCCAAAAGGCTCCAGTTTTTGCATTTCCGCATCATGATTGACCCAGAAAACACCCTTCAAACCGTAAGGTTTTTATTTGGAACATCCCTCACCCTAGACCCTGAGCCACAAACCTAAACCCTGTTTATAAACCCTACAAAGGTACACACTGAATCCTGGAAGCTTTCCGAGACCTCGAAAGCGAGGTTCCTTCCCCGCACCGATCCGCATCTCCCGACCTCCAAGGCGTGTTGTTTGACAGTTTTGCCTGTTAAGGGGTTTTACAAGTCTTGCTGTTGAATGGTGTTTCCGGGTTTCATTGGGGTTTAGGTTTGAGGGCTTGAATTTTCTATATATATATATATCTCGCATTTCTCGCATTTGGGGCACAGGCTCCTGTTAGGCTGCAGCCCTTTGGCTTGCATTAATTAAAACAGACCGGTGCGGATCCCCAGTTTGCGCTCGCAGACTACTCAGCAGTGCGCGGTGCAGTAATCTGGGCGATCGCACAGTGAGGTGTGCAAGATGCTGTGCATGAAACCGGTAGCACAGAGCTCAAAAACCGTAGCACTAGCAACACTACACACCCAAAATCAAAAGGATGCCGCACCATGACGTGCGCATAAGCTGCACAAGAAGTCGAAATGAAGCTTCAACGTGCAATGCGAAGCAGGCCAACAACTGCGCAGGATATTCCTCATGGGTATCAATGAGGCAATCCCTGCACAACACAACTATGTAACGACATACCCGAGATGCCGGAACACCTTCTTTGGAGGTGATATATTGACATCATAACAGAAACGCTAAAAGCTTGAGCCTTGTTCCCCATGGGGCAGAGAGGCAAACTGCAAGCTTCAGGCCCCGCATGGCGTATTCAAACGGCCATGCCCGCATGTTCATAGAAGTGCCTTCACACTCGATATGAAGTGCACTGACTGTGAGCCGTACTCAAGAAAAGCATAGTGGCAATGTACGCGACTTCCGCTATGCAAAACACTGTCTGGCTCCTGCTCGAAGGCTGAGTTTCACAAACTTTCTCCCAACAGATGCCAACCAGCATGCAGAAGCCGGCAATGGTTGTCCCCAGGCCAGCTCCCACATTGACTAAATCAGCATCCGCAGCGACCACGCTCAGAGAACATGCTACATCCTCGCCGTTATGGCCGATGCCAGCACAGCCCTCACAAGTTCCGCCCCTCTTCTGGACGGAGTCTGCCTGCTTGACGAACCCGTTGACGCAAAACACGTCTAAGACGCACAGAACACAAGCATTGAACATGAGACTTCTGCTGAAAGCAATCTCCGGGGTTGTATGTTTGATGAAGAGTCCATGTAAGTAGACATCACCAGCTTGTAAGCACCAGCAGGCCGTCACAGCGCCGAGCGCCCCAAAGTACTCGTTGAGGAAGCTGCCAACGCAAGGCTTCTCATTCCCAGTAGGCCCTGCCTTATCTTGGGACTGCGCCTTGACACTGTCGAACGTACCACTGGCCTCAACGTCCAAGGTGGGCGTCAGGATCTTGACAAAGATCTGCATGCCGCCTCGCATGTGCGGCGCCAAGTGAAGGGTCGATTCCTTCTGCAGGTTGTAATCCGAAAGAGTACGGCCGCACTCAAACTGCCTGCCAGCAAAGATCAGGTGCTGCTGGTCGGGCGGGATGCCTGCCTTAATTTGGGACTTCGCATTGACTTTGTCGAACGTGCCACTGGCCTCAACGTCCAACGTAATCGTCTTGCCTGTCAGGGTCTTGTCAAAGATCTGCATGCCGCCTCGCAAGCGCGGCACCAGGCGAAGGCGTGCCTTTCATGGCACTGGGGCTACCGATAGCTCCGCGCTGCTGCGGCCATTCGAGCCCTCTATATATATATATATAGAGAGAGAGAGAGGTGTTTAAGCTTTCGCGAAATCGGTGTTGATGCCTTCAGGGGCTCCAGGGTTCTTTTGGATGTGCTGATGCTTTGCCTGAAACTTGTGGGCCTCGGAGCTTGGCAGGTTATACGGTTATACGGGTTCAGAGTTTGGCGTCTGGGATCGTCAGGGAGTCAGGGTTTCCTATCACTGCGTGTTGGAAACGGAAACGCTTCTTGGCTTCTCGAGGCAAGGCCTAGGGTTCTGCCGGGTTGAAATGTGCTGTCTCTGCCAAATGTGGATGCACCATCTTGACGTCGAAGGTGCAGGGTGCTGGTGTGTCAAGCTTTGGGATTTGGCTTGGGATTTCCAGTTCAGGAGAGTACCTGACGCTGAAACCGAGAAGCCTACATGCCAGTTCAGCAGGCAAGGGGCCCGTAGTTAGACACTAAATAACATGATTGTGTAGGATCCTTATGATGATGATGAGGGCACTCAGACGATGAGGCACTCATGGCTCATATCATATCTTTCGGACACCGTCACATTGCCCAACGCACAGCGGATAGTTCCGCTGTAGCTAAAGTTTCGAGACTCATTGAGGCCCTGAGCCGTTTCATGAAGGGTAGGTCCCGGCACCGATTTTTTCAACGCGAGGCAAGTTTGACAGGTCAGCAAAGCGTTTTGCCAGCTTGAAGCTCAGCCCTAAGGCTTTTCACGAAAAGAGGAAACAAGCTGCCGCATCACGCTTTTATTGTGTGTGTGTATATGTGCTAAAGGTTTTGGGAATCCCGGCATAGCAGGCCGTGGATTCTTCGTTCGAACTGCCCCCTGTACTCTAAACTCAGCAGAACCGGAAGGTCCAAAACGCTGAACTCCCGACAACCAGACGGTCAGCTGCAGATTCATGGTTTAGGGCAGCCATAAACTCTGACCAGGGTGGGCTGCACAGCTATGCCGAGGTGGGCGATGCTCATCGGGATTCCGGACTGGTCTTCAACCTTTGATTCGTATGAACTGTACGATTCATCGAACTCGAAATCTTGACCCTTTATGTGCTGTGTCGAATATCCCTAAAGCATTCCACCATGGTGCATGCTGACTGTTGTGTCTAACGCTAAGGTCTGGGTCTTATGGTTTTGTGGGTTGCAGGAGCATTTTGCTGCTGCCGTATTGCGAGTCTGACACATTAAGTAGCCGTTGACGAAGGCTTGTCGATCTCTTCACAAACTCCAAACCCGGCACCCCAAAACTCTCAAGTTTGAACCTAACTTTCTTCATTCCCATGCCATCACTATGCGCTATGAGCCTGAAGCCGTCATGGGTTGAACCACTCTACCACAGATTCAATTCTCAACTTATCATGCAAAGCAACCTGAAGCGTAGGGCGGCATAGGGTATGTATTCGGAGCCTACAATAACCTGATGCTTGGTACAAAGCTCTGACCTTATGATAGCTGATAAAAACGCTCATTTTTGTGGAGCAGGTGGGAGGGCCGACCTATTTCCTTCTGGCTGAGCGGCGCTATCAGACCATGCCAGCAGGTCCCCTTGGGAAGTGTTCCTAACCCTTGAAGATTTAAACCCCCAAAGCCCGTAGATCTTGAGCTTCGGAGGCTTCAAGGGACATCTTTGCACTGATGTTTCTGGTTTTTGGATGTGACCGTCACCGCACCCTGCCTGAAGACATCGATCCTCGACCCCTTAAATACAACCATGGAGTTACTTGGATTCGGGCTTTGGCATTGGAAGGTTAGTTTCAATCAGAAATATCTATTGTAAGCATGTTATGTATGTATATGTCTTGCAGAATTTGCGAGAATCGACCAAAAACCCGATTCTAACTATGGTACCTGTTGCTCTCCGTGCTTTCGAACCCTCGCTTTGCGTCTTCCGCGTCTGACACGTTTTTTCAGCCATGATTGCCGTCCCGATGCAGACCCGTTGTAGGCATCCTTAAGCCTCCTTGTTCGTAGTACATGTCTTCAGTGTTCTTATTTTGAGGATTGTTATGATTCTTGTTTGTTGGTATTTGCTATGCACCATGATGAACCATTATGAACTATTCTGAAATGTTATGAGTGTTATGTGGAATTAATGTAGCATTATCCAGTGTTATGCAACGTCATGTATTGCTATTACTTGTTGTCTGCTGTGTTATTGTAGGTCGCTTAATGGAGTTTATTTTGGGTCTTTGGATACTCCTTGGGTACCCAAACCATTACCAAGGACTACTCGTGACGAGTGAGACCCTTGGAGACCATGCCCGAACAGTGCGAAGGACACAAGCAGCGCATCTTGCTAACATAGTAATCACGATGCTATACTAGGAATGCTAGTAAGTATTGCTTATTGCTTAGGTGTGCATATGTGATATGGTATATGGTATGGTATAGCATGATCTTGTATGTGTGTATATACATACATAAATGTATGTAAATATGTATGTATGTATGTATGTATGTCTAGGTACAGATATACTTATTTGATTGAGTTGTCTAATTAATGAAGTATTTTTATTTAGATTCAACCATATCTCTATGCAGCATATATGTGAAGATGTGAATGTAAGCATTTCAGGCGAGTTCTCTGTTCCTTCCGGCCTCGGCGACGCGTACCCTACCGTCCGCAGCTGCTGAAGGCAGGCTGTTGTGCTAGGTTTTAGGGTATACAGGGTGTTAATCGGCATTACGGATTTAGGGTTCCGTTTTTGCAGGCTCAGTGTTCAGAGGGCTGGGGGGGTTAGGGTCTTCTTTACTTTTTGTTAAACCCGAAAGCCCCAATCCCAGCCTGGCTAGGCTGTCGCAGAGAAGAGCCACCCACGGCATCGTGGAGGGACTTCGCACAGAGCTGCCCCTTGCAGCTGAAAGCTGCAGATGTCAGACAAGAATCCTTAACCGGCTGGTTCGTGCCTACATCTACAAGATACTCCAATATGATGTAGTATACACTGAAGAGCAGCCCCTAAAGTTCACAAACCACGAAGTCGAGGATGCCCTTGATATACACCCTCAACTTCTGTACCCTACAAGCCCTACATCGGAAGTGACACTTGTTCAGAAGAGAACCCAAAGAGGTTAAGGATCGTTCCCCGCTCCACGGTCCTGCACCGTGGGGCGGCGTGGTCGAACGTAGAGATTCGGGAATTTCAGGTTCAACGATTTTTGCCTTCAGCTCTACCCCCTCAAGTCGCCCAGTATGTTCTGTCGTCAATCTGTTGACCCTCTGTACGGTTAGGAACCTAATTACAGCCAGGAAACAGGCAACCAACACAGCGGAATTGAAGATGAGCCCTATAAGTTTTAAGACTGAGACAACAACAACCAAGAGCCCTAAGCCCCAAACCCGCAGTTTTTACTTGTGGAGTCTGTGTTTTTTGAGGTGATAGACCTGTGATCCACCTTTACTTGCTAAATCGTAAGGATGTCTTTATAAGAGGAGTCATCTGCGGCTTGGGTTGTGCGGGTGCCAGTTCTGCAAGGTTGCCGTAAAGGGGCTTATGGGTGGTTAGATAAGGGGTTTAGGGTTTTGGGGTCTGGGCCTCTAGGGCATTTCTTCAGCAGCCCAAGTTGGTGTGGGATGCGATCATTTGCAAGTATCCAACCACCTTCGCAACACACAGAGACAGCGCGTGATTCAATTCAGCTGCTTCCAAATAGATCCTGAAATCCTGATGTTCGTTTCTGCACATGCCATCAATTCATGTTAGCCATTCGGTTGCAAACATGCCCCTTTTGGAGCTTTCAGCAGGGCCGGGCGAATGTGCCCAAAGTCAGCTACGCGCTTTCTGAAAAAAGCGTCGAAGATGCCGAGCTTGGACCTTACTTACGCATTTTGGTCTAGAGGGGTTTAGGGGTGTAGAGTACTTCCGTCTTCCATGTCTTCTCAGTGCGCCACCGAGAGGGGGAACAACCTGATAGGACTCACACAGCAAAAATAGACCTCATACCGTAGCTCAAGGTGTCCGTCATAGCTTCAAACAATTTCGTAGAGAAGATCTGTCTTGGCATCTGCTCACACTGAGATGGCCTCGGCCTTCTCGCTGAGACACTTCCGACTCGGCATGTTGCCCAAGCGGTTTGGGGCTTAGGGTTTAGGTGTTTAAGGAGGGTTTAGGGTTTTGGTGCCCAAATTCGTTGTCGCATCCGGGAAGCTTCGCCAAGCGCAAACCAAACACCTAGCAAAGGCATCGAATCTCTAGAAGTCACGGTGGCGTTCTGTGAAGTCCCCGCTCTTCTTGTTGTCTTCCGACTCCCTGTCACAACAGCAACCTCGGTCACAGCAGCAAAATGTGCTTCTGTTGCAAACCGAACACAGGCGCCCGCCACCACCCCTCACGTGGAGGCAGCACGGGGTATGAGGCTTCAGGCGTTGAGGGACGGGACCTTGGGTTATGTACTCTGTAAGCTTTGGGGGGGTTTGCTGAAATTTACCTACAACTCAATCGAGATGTGGAACACCAAGTTCCGGAACCTTGGGAATTGCATGCGATGAGACTTTAGATTTGGGTCTGGCGGAGAATGGGGCATGCACTCACTGGGAAACGGAGGTAAGGTTTAGAAGACGAAGATGCTTAAGAAGTACTGCGCCCTGGGGTTCCTCCGGGTTAAACAGCTTAGGAGTTAAATCTTCTGATGGGATATTTCTGAGGTATTCATAACCGCAGAAGCCGGTGCTGTCTGCTTTGGTTCAGTACTGTGCCTGTGGATCACCACGAAGCTCTAGCCACAAGAGAGTTAGCGAGAGTCTGAGGGCTTTGCGCATGTTGGGTGACCCGCCGGTCGCTAGCAAGTTAGGTAAGGCGATTATCCCGAATCCGTGAAACACGAACCCACCTCGTATATATACACCTCCCCAATATTGGACAGACTACCCATGATACACTCCGCGATGGACCGTTAGGTTGCAGCGCTCTCACTCGTCGTACCTGAAGAAGTACACGATATAAGGGTTTCTAGAAATTGGGTGTGCATTTCTCGGAATCCTCAGCATAATCAGGGTCTATGTACAGCACATACGGAAGTCTTTCGACGTTTCCACGCCCGAAACTCAAGAAAACCCCAGAGCCCGAATCCGCGAAAATACAACAGTCATCAACACTAATTTGGAGCCGCCGCTGACATCCAGGCCCCATGCCCGCCGGCAGTGTCTTCGCCTGAGCCTCAAGCTATTCCGGCTAGGCCGTAGGAATTTGACAGCTTTGTGATTTAGGGTAAGTTGTTGCTGTGAATCTTGCGACCCTTGTCGTTGTATTTTGGGTCGCATGATTGTGGAGCTGCGATAGCGCCTTGACCATCATCGCCATTTATTGTTGCTATCATCCTCACTGTTATTAATGTTGATCTGCGTGTTCTTGCAATGAGCGCTGTCATCGCTCTAGTGTTTATTTAACGAGCTGAAATAATTACGAACTGCGTGTTCTTGCAATGAGCGCTGTCATCGCTCTCGTGTTTAAAGAGCTGAAATAATTACGAATACTAGTTTGGGGGTTCCTCATATTGTGACAACAGTACAGTATAATCCCTATTCTTGTTGTCCAGGCCCCTATACCAAGCCTTGTAGTGCCCATTACAGTGGAACCCCTGAAAGAACCCTTGAAGGAACCCTATAGACCCCGAGCCTGACACGAGTTTCAGGGTCCATGTCTCTGCTGGCCGATGCACAAAGAAAGCTGAACTCGAGGGTCCAACACTTTAGGGGTGCCCTTAAAGGAATCTACCAGGGTTCTGCAAGGGATCTATAGGCCTGCGCCGCTGAAGCAGCGATCGCCACCTGCTTCCCAAAGGATCCTAAGTGCTAACTACATATTAAACGGGGTACCCTTTCCCAAGTCATAATAGTATAGATAGACGCCTTAAGCTCTACATGTAGGTACTCAGGACGCATTGGGCTAGTAGTAGTGAGACATCAGTGGCCCGACATCCTAACTCATGCTCCTAAACCCTAAACCCTAAACGACTTATAGGGTCCCCAAGGCTTCCTGCAAAGTCAGCGGCGATGGTGGCTGTGCTGCCACAGCTGGTTCCAGCGGGAGCCCGAGCAGCAGAGGCTTCAGGTTTGGGGGCTCCGGGGCTGAAGCTTCATAGCTCCAGGGCCGAGGTCTCTCTACACCAGAGCTAGGGTTTAGGTTTAGGGTTTAGGGTTTAGGGTTTAAGGTTTAGGGTTTAGGGTTTAGGTTCAATAAATCAGCGAAGAGCGGCTTTCGTAAGATATTCTCAGCTTCTGCAAGGAACAGGGAAGCGACACAAGTCAAAAGCAGGTTTTTCACTGAGGGTTTACGGAGTTAGGGCTTCGAGGACAGCCTGCGGTGACAGCTGCTTGGGAATTTGAAGTAAGTAGGTCTACGACAGCGCAGTCGTCTTGGGATACACATGCCTCATGCTGCTTCAGAAGCAGTGAACGAACGCAGAATCCGATAAAACACAACTGAGGAAAAACACGTTTGAGTTCGAATGTCGAACAGGATCTCCATCTGTTTTGGTCGACATATAGTGCAGAGCCGATGTCTTAGCAGCGTAGACGTAGGAAGAGCAGTGGACAACAAAAGCCCAATACCGCGGACTCTTGTTAGAATTCCATAGAACCTAAAGCGCGAAACCCCTCCAAAAGACAACTAAACCCCTAAAGCCCCCGAAAACCAAACTACAACTAAAGTCCTATACACACTAGACAAGGCACAAAGTTGGGAAGCAGGAGCCTCCTCTCCCCATTTTCGAAGTCCTCTCCCACACGGGGCATAGGTGCTCAGTGCGACTAACTACTAGCGTAATCCCCCAGTGTCAGAGGGGGATGGGCAACAATCAATGCAAGGATTACATTACGTTTCATCCCTGCTTCTACCCAGAGCCCCATAGTAGTTCCTTTTTGGGATTACCTCATAAGATTCTCGATATGAACCCCCAAAACGGAACTACTTTGGGGCCTTAGGGTAGGGTCTTGGAGCTTGAACTTCCATCTTGACGTTCGTAGTCGAAGGGGACCTCTTGTGACGAGGTCGCTGTGCCGCAGGACCGGATACAGTCCGTGTTCGACGGGTGCCCAACTCAGATGTCACCAACACTATTATAGGGGCCTGCATTATTACCAACACTATTGTAGGGGTTCCTCATTATGTATAATGGCCCTACATCATTGCACTTCATGCGTGAGATATGGTCACAGGTTGGTTCGGTTTCTGATTGCGATTTGGAGATGCTGTGTCCGCCCAGCATGCTGTGCAGGGCCTAGGTTGTCCATGGCTCGCACCTTCACCCGAAACCCTAAACCTCAGAAATGCACTGAAGTGAGTTGCCAAGACAAGATTTGCGATGTTCTCGATTGTCGCAGGGCGAAGCGAGGCATATTGTATCGAGCTTGTGGCATTCCACCCTGAGAAATCCCTAAACTTGAAGCCTTAAACCCTAAACTCCTGTAAACTGCACTGTCCCAAAAGGCCCTCAACAAAAAGTCCCTCCTGTAAACTCCTGGCGCGACGTTGGCTCGTCGGCTTGCTTGAAAGGTACCTCGGCCAGGTTCCCACAGATCTACGGACGACCTTCGCCGCTTGCTTGAGATCTGCTTCGGGGGTAGGGATTAGAGGCTCCTTAAGTCACGACCGCCCACGGTTTAGGATGCAGAGTGGTTCCCTAAGTTACACGGG